TTCTCATGTCCTCACACATTTTGCTACGAGAGAGCCTCATACTATTTCTCCATTTAAAACGTTTTTATTTCCTTATTCTTTCCAGATCAGAGTCAAATTGCTGAGTCCAGGGTGGTTTATATGGACAGAGGTTTCCCCCTGGTCTGGCAAGACGACACCAACTCAAGCTGCGGTTATGTCATTGAGTGGCATGACGCCCTCTGCCAGCAAGACTGCCATGTGGAGTGGGTCAAGGTGGCAATGGGAACCACAAATACGTCCATTGAGTCAGGTACTTTGAGCGAAATCAACCTGGATTCACCTTGCAAGCGTAAATTCCTAAATCGGATTGACTACAAGTGACTCTCATCCCTTCATCAGCCAACTTCCAGCCAGGCGTGAAGTACAACATCTCCCTGTTCAGTTGCTCCTCAGAGCTGCTGCAGTACTGGCAGGGCTACATGCAGGAACTGCGTAAGTAGGACGAACCTTTTTGGCAACAGAAGCAGCAGTCCTTTTCAAATTTTTTTTGGAATTTCAAACCACCTTCATACCTTCCCCTCCCCCAAGCTCCCTCCAGAGCCGTCCCCCACCTGTTCATCAATCAGCAGGACTCGGACGTTCTCTTGACGTGGGAAGCCATGCCGCAGGCTAGCAGGAGAGGATACATCTTGGGTTACAACATTTACCTCAACAATGACTCCCAACTCGTGCTACTCGGTACGTATTGGCCTCTTCTAACGGTTTTGCGGTGTTTGAGTGCAGCAACATTACTGCTACGTCTTGTGCTCTTTCTTTCCACCGTTGTTTCCCATCCTGCCCATCCCTGCAGCCAATCTGTCGGGAGAAGGAAGCAGGAAGTACACAGTGAAGGGTCTTTCTGATGGCTCCTACAAATTCACGGTCAAAGCGTACAATTCAGCAGGCGAGGACACCGGCGCCACAATTTCCATCACAGTAGAGCAGTTAGGTATGTATTTTATTTTATTTTATTTTATTTTTCATGACCTGTAAATATCCGCGGGCAACAATTTCTCCTTTGTTCTCTTCCTTCAAGCTGATTGGCTGATCCTGGAAATACTGGCAACTCTGGGAGTTGTCGCTTTATTGCTCTCCATTGTCACCTTCCTTTGTTATAAGAAACGGAAATGGTGAGTCAGCTTTCTTGCCTGGAGCACCTTTTATTTGAGCATGTGACCTGAATATTGATATTCAGGTGACATATTCAATGCGTGCTGCGCATTAATATTTTCCATTTTGTTGTCATCAGGGTGAAGATGGCCTTCTATCCAGACATACCGCAACCCAAATTGAGCGATGACTGGACTAGGACGCAGGTACGTGTAAGTATAATGTCTGACCATTATAGCGATTGGACCAATACCTTGTAAATCAATGTTTCCTAATGTTTTTTGAGCCAAGGCACATATTTTACCGCCACCAACAGAATAGGTCTTATTCTGTTGTTTGAATGGCAACAAATGGATACCCGGGATAATTGTACATTTTGCATCTCGTCGAAGAGCATTTAATTGTTGGGACTATCACTATAGGTTGCTGGCGTAGATAGATAAATTAACTCATATTTTAAAGTTTCATTCAGTAAAATTTGATCTTTTCCCGTAGCAAACTTGATGATCTTTCATGACAATTTCTGCTGCAGTTCTAATATTGAGATTTTGCAGGATATGTTTTTTTTTTCCTTTTGTTGAAACTATCCTGTATCTCATTGACATCTTTGATCATTGATTGAACTTGACAGGGTCCACTGGACGTGAGGCCATCGCCCCACAACGTGGTCCATGTTGTAGGAAAGCCCGAATTAGACTCCCTTAAAGAAGCCTTGGTCGTCATTCCCGAAGAGGATGAGGAGGAAGAGGATCAGATCGGAGGCGAGCCTGTCGACACGGATGAGCCAGCGTCATTACGCTACTACAACCAAATGATTGACGAGCGACCCATTAGGCCACGCTACCCAGATTCTTTAGACTCGTCTTCGTCCTCAATGGACTCTGGGCTAACTGATGTGACCTACACAGGAATCCAAACTTCAGGGTCATCTCTGGTCTTCCACACAGATCAACAAGGTTCCTCCGAGGTCGAAATGGCTGCCAGTGGAGGTGGTTACCGCCCCCAGAGGCAACCTGCAAGTGACAACTCGCACCCGGTTCCAGCGCAGTCCTCCCACGATCCCCAAGCCGCATGCTCCGGAGGCTACAAACCCCAAAGCTCTTGGAATTTGGACTCGCCCGGGGAGGCTGAGGAGCGGGACTGCCTGGCACCGTGCTTGGGCTCACCCACTTCCGTGGCTTCCACTCAGTTCCTCCTCCCTGACGGCGAGTCAGAGGAGCACGGCGAAGAGAAACGTCCGCTCTCTACTTCCGCAGCAGGCTGGTTCACCAACCTGCTGTCCTCTGCAAAACCATGATATCCTCTCATTAGAAGCTGCTCGGCCAAGAGGTTGGCCTAACCCTTTTACATTCACGAGTATTACCAGTGACGTTTATCAAACTGCAAAAAGCTTCACCCATCAGGTCAAAACATAATATCATCATTTGATGTAGCAGTTTGAAAGCAAGTCGAAAATATGATGTTTGAGAAACAAAAGGAAAACATGAGGCTGAAATGTGATCCGTACTATTTCCTCATATAGTGGCCAGAACCATAGATTTACTCATTATGTCATTTCACAGCAGAGCTCACGTGACGTGTTGACGTTAATCTACCATGACATATAATGGGTCAGTCAAAGTAAAGGGGGGGAAGAAAATCCATGATGCTTTTAAAAAAAAGTAGTCTGTGTATTAAAGGTGGATGGCATATGGCACGGCTTCTTTCAGAGCTGAGGCCACTCTTTGAGGAAATCTGGAAAATTTATTGGCTTTCTTCATGACTGGGCATTCAGTGCTGACGTTAGTTCAGAGGTGCAGCTTTTAGCTTTTTTTGTTTGACCCGTTGTGATGTGAGTTTCAAAACGCTAGATGATGATGAATGAAAGTCATTTCCAAACCAAACATTTCCCTAAGTATTTGTTGAAACACTACAAAAGGAAGACTTATTTTTATGTTTTGTATGAACGGAACATGTCCCTTAATTGTCTTTTGAGTCGCCCCCTCATGAGATGATGTCCTATGCACTTTGAATAAGTCATTGTTTTACACACATTCAGAAGGTGATGCATTTTACACTCTGGAATTGTTTGGATGATGACACAGATGATATAAGCTAGAATGTATTCAATATCATGTACTGAACAAATGCTATCATGTTACTTTTAATTGTTTACAATCGTCTTGTTTAATCGAGTTGTTTTGTAAATATTTCACAGGCCAGTTTTTTTTTTTTTACGTCACATGTAGTATGTTACCCGCTGGTCAGCAACTTTCCATTTAAATATTGAGAATACAATACATCTTTATTTATATAGAAACTTGGGGTGTCAATCATAGTGTTCGAGTTTCATATATAATTGTAATGCTTCCAGTCATTTGCACCATGTCACATTTCACAAATTGCCTTGCCACTCAATCAGATTTGATCCATTATGTAAAATGACTGTAACTCAGAACACATCAATAATGTTTGAGACCCTGGTAACAGCATATTATTGTTGTTTTTATAAAGCATTTGCTTTTATTTCCCTTTGGAGAGCTTTGCCATCTCCATATTTCTCTCATGTTATGATACCTTTCCACAGATTGTGTCATGCTTTATTAATCAGGTTGATATTCATTTGCATAGATGTAAAGTAGGAAATTTATGCTCATTTCCAAGTCAAGTTTCTCAGTGCCTACAGCTGACAAGCTTTAAGTAAAACTACTGTGACAGGAATGGTGGCAAATATAACGTGGGTGGGACTGGATAACTTTGCTGGTCTACTTCTCAGGTGGTCCTTTCTTTTGACTACTGGGGGAAATGTCTGTTGTTTTGTTTTGTTTTAAATACAATGCCGATTGACTGGATTCAATCCAAAAGCTACAGTGGATCGTCAAATGACTGTCCAAGCCGATATGAGATCAAATGAAACAGAAGATATAGTTTTGAGGATTTAAACGAAGCTGCACATTGTTTCTCATCCTTTAAAGCATCATCTCCAATGAGGCAGGGCATGCTCTTAGATTTTGTTTATTTGTGTCAACAAATAACATTTTATACTAAACAATGTGGTGGATATGTATCCCTTTGCTCTCTTAGATAGGAAATGTATCATATACAATTTAACCAACAGATCTTACTGTTTGTCATGTATAGTATATAGTGATTGTCTTCCAATGATAGCTTAGCCTTAATGTGCTTTCACAGCATTGTGTCACATTTCCAGATGCTGATGTGGTTTCAAGTAAAGCAGAAAACTGGTTGTGTAGATGATATCAGGGTAGTTTGCTGCCGCCGCCCTGCCTGATTTGTAAATGCATGCTGTATAAGCAAACACTACAAGATCACAGTTTGAGACCCTATGGCTTAAAAAAAAAAAAAAAACTAACACTGACTAATGCTATGCATGACTTAATGGCTACAGTAAATGTGCATCAATAAATACTCAAAATATTGAAATGCTTTAAATTCTATGATCTTTCAGAGAATATTATTTTCAAGTTTGTAATTCCTGAAGATGATTGCGAGGCAGAATAAGCATATAGAATTTGAAAATCATGTGGATTTTTTTTTCTGAACCAATGCTTCATGTTAACACCAAGCTGAAATGTTACTCATCAAAAACAATTAAAATTAAATAACAATAATTTGTCTGGCTACTTATCTGTTTTTCCTTCGTGTACTTGTTTTTTGGGGGCGGTGTTGCATGTCCTTGAACAATGGCTGCAAAAACCCTAAAAAGCATGTATGTCCCTGTTGTCCTTATTGTTTTGCGAATAATAACTGATCCTAGATAAGTGAGACGGCTTCATCCCCCTCTACGATGTTTTAAACGCATACATGTACAATGCATCCAGGGACAGGTGGTCTCATCCTGCACATCACTCAAATGATTTGTCACCATGGATACGCGACAACAGAATCTGTTGTCGCGTATCCATGGTGACGAGACCTCTGAGTCGCTTTGCTTGTCTTCAATTTTTCATTTAAGTCGCTTTTAGATTTTTTTTCCTCATGCAAGCGTTTATTTAATAGGCGTTATTATAGATTTGATATGAAATGTGGCGGCGTAATTGGCAACTTGGAGTACTTTTTTTTCCAGACACTGAGATAGTCCGGCTACCTTACAGCGATTGGAAAAAGCTATCGTTTGTGTTGCACTGACGTTGCATTTTGGAGTTATTGGACCTGCAACTCCGAATCTGCCAATCGGTTGCTGACTTTATTGAACTTTTTGAAGTTACCATAGCAACGCCGCTTTTACGCGTCAGTTTGCTTGCCGTCGACCGACACTAGATGACGTCAACGTCTTTAAGAATGTTTTCTGTCTCCTTAGTGGGAAGAATTTCAAACGACCACCAATAGGACGTTGGGAAAACAAGCGGTAGAGAACCTACCTTGCTAAACTAAAGAGAGACAAGTGTTCAAAAGAAAAATATGTCGGACATATTGTGCAAATGGCTCAACGAGGAGCTTCGCCTGTCAAAGATTGTCGGTATGTACGACTGATGTATGAATTGGCAGTTACCTGTGTGCTAACTCATTTATGCTAATCCTGACTGATGGTGACTTTCGTGCAATAAAAATTAATTTCTTCAAACCTTCTGTGTTGAGGCAAAATGATTCATCCTCACAGGTGAAAGGGCGTTCAAGCGAAATATCTGACTAAATAATAGTTATACTGTACTGTACATATTATTTTTAGACGCCTCCCGATAAGTGTAACTCAATAAATTACAGTCTGGTAGAAAGGTTTGTCACATTTTCGGTGAACCTATTTATGTTGGTCTAATTTTTTGTAACAATCTTCAATTCTCAGTCTTTTGTTGTTTGCCATCTCATTTACCGTGAATGTTTACATATGTTCATCCTTTCACTATACTGTAGATATTATTTTTTAGACGCCTCCCGGTAGGTGTAATTCAATAAAATACAGTCTGGTAGAAAGGTTTGTCACATTTTTGGTGAACTGATTTATTTTGGTCTAATTTTTTGTAACAGTCTTCAATTCTCAGTCTTTTGTTGTTTGGCATCTGATTTACCGTGAATGTTTACATATGTTCATCCTTTCAGAACCAAAGAACTTTGCGAAGGATTTCTCCAGTGGTTACCTCATTGGAGAAGTTTTACAAAAATATCAAATGATTAATGATGTCAGTGTCTTTATGAAAACAGAGTAAGTTCATTTATTTTCTCCTCCTTTTTTTCCACCAAACTCTCAAAATTGCTTGCTTTTGCTTGTATAGTTCTTAGTTTTAATCTGGAAAAAAAAAATGCCCACAGCACCTCCACCTCCAAACTGAACAATTTCACACGCCTTGAGCCAACTCTCCATCGGCTGGGCATCTCCTTCGACTTGACCACAGCTCAAGGAGTGATGCAGGAGAAGCCTGGTGCCGCCACACATCTTCTTTATCAGCTCTACGTCTCACTAGAAAAGCAGAGAAAGAGGAAATCCGAAATCATGCAACCTGATGCCCTGCATAAAAAAGGTCACAAAATCTTCTCTGATGTAAGTGTGATGAGCTTCATTCGTGCAACACCCTGTTAAACTGAGACCTCTACCAAACAATCTGAATATGTATCCTATCCATCAATTTCTTCTTCTTCATGTAGCGCCTAAATCTTGTGGTGAAGAAACGCGATGCAGAGTTGAAGTTGCAGAAAGTCAATCAAGATATAGAGAAGAGACGCCCTCAGTTTGACAAGTCAGCCCAGAAGAAGAGTCAACTCAAAGATCAAGATGAGAAGAGAGCCACAAACATGAGAAAGGTGCTGAAGGAAACTCATGATTATCTCCCAGTGTCACAGATATCAACTTTAATGTACTACAGAGTTAAAATAAGGACCCCCCCCCTTCACATATCCCAACATTATTCTGTATGTTTTGCAGTTTTCTCGTCCAAAATACAGTGATGTCATGTCAAGTCAAAACCAGTCCACTGACGTCCAGGTGCCAAAACCGCCCCCCTACACTTCGTTGGTCAACATGAGGCGGCACAAGCATCAGCAACGCAAAGATCAGCAAGCAGAGGTCACAGTCACATGCAAGCTAGTCAGAATTCAAAAAGCTTAAGACCGCGCTTGAACTTGTCCTGCAAATACTTGCCTGCAACTAGAGTTGCTCTTGGTTTAAAAAAAAAATTAAGATAAGACTTGACACTTACTCCAGCAACATGGCTTGTGAAAGTCGGACATATAGTACTGTCTGACTACCGTCCTACTGCAAAGACTTCAGCCTTGAAATTGTCTCTGGCTTAAAAACTTGAGTTCTAGGCTTGATCTCAAACTCAAAAACTAGACTAGACTTGTGCCCCAGTTATCTGTGTGAAGAGTCGAGACTAGACTTGGTCTCATGCAAAATTTGAGATGCACTTGCTCTCCAGGTAAAAATGCACAGAAGGAGACAGACTTGCCCTATAAAGACCTGATTTTATCAACCTTGATGCATTTAAGATACTTTAGCCTTTGAGAAGGATTGTATTTCATTCACAGGCTAAAATAAATGTAACTACCGGTCAATGCGGTATCCTGCTCGAAGACTAACTTGCCCTGCAAAGACATGACCTTGAGCTCAAAGTTACAAGTCTGTGATTGATATCAAACTAATATGTTGTGTCTCTATACTTCTGTCCGTGTAGATAGTCCAAGCTGAAATTGCAGAGTTTGAGATAAATAGGAAGAAGTTGACCACTTCAGGCTTGGCTTCCTCTTCAGGGTGAGAAAAACATTTTTATTATCCATCAGTGTGAAATGTTTGTATTTATCATTGCAGACCGTGATTTATTTGTTCTCATAGAATAACAAAAATATTAGGAATCTGTTTACTGCGGTGTGTATAGAGAACAGGCCATACACCAGTAATTGCCCCTAAAAATGTGAGAATAAGCGGATCAGAAAATGGATGTATAGATGAATGAACCTCGAATATGTGGGGGATTACTCTACTTTGTATTGTTGAATGTTTTTTGAACCTCTTTGCTCTCACTAGGGATCTCGATGTTCCACTTGGAGGTAGCACTCAGGCCAATGGAGGTGAAAATGAGCTCATGCTCCAGTCCAGCAGCGCGTATATTCAGGAGATCCGCCGGAGGTTGCAGGAAAATGTTGCCGCTTCTGAGCAGAGAGAAAAGAGACGAATCAGATGCCTGGTCGAGCAGCTCAAAGCCCATGTGGCTCAAGAGGTGGGTCACATACAGTAAGCTTGATTGAGTCAATTCAGACAGACACGGGGGCAGTGGTAACATTTACTAACTAACTAACCACCCCCCCCTCCCCCACTTACAGGAGAGATGGCGAGAAGAACAGCTGGTAAGGTGTCTGACAGGCCAAACTCAGCAAGAGAAGCGTTTGGCGGTGCAGCTACTCCAGATGCGCAAGCAGAAGGATGCGTTCCGGCAGAATCGCCTGCTGATAGAACAGCAATTCCAGCAACAGAGAGAGAAGGAATTCCGAGAAGCTCTAGAAAGAGAAGCAGTGAGTGTCAACAGGTTGCACGCTTTACAGTCCTGTACATTTGATGAGATGTCATATCTGACTTTTTCTGAACTGCCGCCTTCACTCATGCGGCATCTTTTGTGATTCAGGCCTTGACCCGTCAAGCTCAGTTGGAGCGGGCAGAGGAGATTGAACTGGAGCTGGAATTCTGCAAGAAGATGGCTGCCGAGTGCGCTCGGAACAGATCCAAGAAGCACTTTGAGAACTGTAAGGAAATTTTGGAGCAGATTGTGGACTTGGCCACCAAGGTTGGAGAATATCGCCTGCTCACCACAAAGTAAGTAAGATGTTCGCACCCCACATGTTGCATCAGACTTTAATAATCATAGCAATATTAATAACAGCAATTTATATCATACTGCTCAAGATTAAATTCACATCATGCAAAAATAATGAAGGGACCCAAATTTACAATTTGCCACCCACACATTTCACTGCTTCTCCTTTTGTCGTGCTTTCCGCACAGAATGGAGTGAAATGATAAAAATAATAATGTCCTGTTGGTTGTATGACAATTGTAATTGCATTTCTCACAGGAGCAAACGAAGCAATGGCATGATATACTTTGTTTCTATTATTTTGGATTGTATTGAAGTTAAGGCTGTGCCATTTGCAGTCTGATTCCAGCAAAGCTGATGCGTGAATGGAAGGAATTGCTGCTAAACGGTCTCCCTCTTTACGAGCAGCAGCGGCTCACATCGCCCGACCCAGTTGAGCTCCAGAAACAGGAGCTACTCAACAGTCAAGATTACGAAGAATATGTTGTGAGTTATACCGAACCAAAATATAATTGTCACGCTTATGTTTTTGCTCATATTTTTTTATGAATTGAACTCAAAGATCTAAGTCACAGGTGTCAAAGTCAAGGCCCGAGGGCCTTATCTGGCCCGCCACATCATTTGATGTGGCCCGTGAAAGCAATTCAAGCATGTCAACTTCCATGATGCTTGCTAAAGTCTGAACCAAAATTTCAAATTGTCATATATATAATGTAATAATTACAATGTTGGAACAATTATTCTTGACTTCTGATGTCAAAATTGGTTATCCATCTTGTTGTTCGCTGAGTATGTAATATTTGGAGGTGGTTAAACATTTATATGGTTTCACAAAATTCACAGTCACAACGGCCCACTGAGGGAAACCGTAACTACAATGTGGCCCGCGACAAAAATGAGTTTGACACCCCTGATCTAAGTCTTTCTAAGAATACAAAAACCTAATTGCCCTCAATTCTTGCTCCGATGCATGTTTTAATCTGTATAAGTGAACACTTCTCTTTTGCTGAAGTAATTCATCCACCGCACAGGATTGACATATCACGATGTTGATTCAACAGCATGATTATTGCATGATTAGGTTGCCCATAATAAAAGGCCACTGTAAAAATGTGTAGTTGTACTAGATTCTTCAAAACGGAGAGGGTCTATGGTACAAAAATGAATATTCAATTCAAGGGCAACAGCTGCAGTCAGAATGCCAATTGCATGCTTTCTCAAAACTTGCAGCATCTGTGGCATTGTGCTGTGTGATAAAACTGCACATTTTACAGTGGTCTTTTATTATACACGTCTACAGCATCTTGATAATCCACACCTGTGAGGTGGCTTGATTACATCGGCAAAGGAGAAGTGCTTACTAAAGATACAGACATTTTTTGTGAATATTTGAGTAAAATAGCATTTTATTTTGTACTGTGCATCGAAAAACTCTTGGCTTTGTAATTCAAGATCAAGTAAATTCAGAACATTTTGTGCCTAGTGTATCTATTTAGCTGCATACAGAATGGGACCGTACATGGGACAAGTGAACAATTAGTTTTGATTGTACTTTGTTGTGTTGTTACCATGTGGTGTGTGTTAGAACATGGTGGGAGAATGGACATGGACAGAGGAGTCCGGGGAGGCCAGTTCACCAGTTGTGCCGAGCCTCAACGTGATTCTCAGACACGTGTTCTTGAGAATGAGAAGCTTGATCCCACCACCGAGCCCATCAGCAATTCCTGGCTACAGGCTCAAGGCGTGTGTCCTTGGCAAGTTCTGCTCCGGCAAGACCACCTGCCTGAAGAAGATTGCTCAAGGTACATGATGTCAGTTAATCTTACAGTGCTTGTGCGCTCAAGAACACGTCGTGTTTCTTACGTTTTTTTTTTCTTTCTAAGTAAGCCTGTTGTCTTCTCTGTGTAGAACTCAAAATATGTGTCCTATCAGTGGACACGCTAGTCGAGGAGGCGCTGAACGCTCACCAAAGTAGAGAGAGGGTGAGTCAAGATTCACCTCTCAGACCAGACTAGAATGTAGAACCTCACCAGTAACTATTTAAAAAAAAACGTGCAGGTCAGAGACGAAAATGAAGAAACTGAGAATGAAGTAGCCACAATTCTGAATACTGGTGGGTTATTTGTTAATACACTTAACACAGTTTTAGTCAGAATGCTGTAATCTGCAGCAGCAATTTGTAATTGTTTTTGTTATACTTTATTTTTCAGATCTCCATCGCAAAGAGGAAAGAGCGCGCATAAACGTAAGAAAAGCAATCGCTGGAATTACTCACAAGATGCAAGATTCAAATGTGTCTTTAAAACAGCCATCCCACGCGCTCCCTTTTTCCCTTTATCCCAGTTGTCGATCCGTGCACTGCTGGGAAGTGCTGCTGCGGAAGAGCTGAGCAAAGGCAACGTCATCCCCGACGAGCTGTTGGTGGACATTGTAGTGGAGGCTATCAGGTATCACTGCATTGCACTCAGTGGTAGAATATTCACGTGGGAAAATTTTGCAGACAACACACACTATAGAAGTATTTGCGATCTTGTGAACAGCCAGGTTCCATTCGAGTCAGGCTGGATCCTGGATGGCTTTCCGGTCAACATAGATCAGGCCCATCTTCTGGAGACAGCCATTGCCTCGCTCGACATCGGTTACGAAGTAGTGGGCAGAAAGATAGACCTCGCCATTGATCCGAATCCTCCGCTGCCCCCGCCCCCGCCACCAGCACTGGACGTGGCTGTACTGATGGATATTCCTGATCAGTGTGTTGCCAAGCGGGCGGTCAATTCCCCTGGTATGTTTCGAATAATCGGTGAAGTGAAGGGTTCTTAATATTTTGGCCTTGTCATGCAGCATAATAGATGGACAGTACTGTGCAAAGGTTTTCGACCAACACCATTTTCATTGTATTGTTTTGCTCTAGTAAAAGATTCAATTACAGGACAGAAAGCAGAAAGATAATTTCCCCAAATTTTGTGAAGGTAGTGCGTTGTCCAAGGATGAACCCATTCCAAAAAGTCTGGATAAATAGCTACACTTTGTCTGTTGATCATGGTCCAAGAACCAGGATGTAGTCTGCCGTCACAAAAAGATTGAAATTGAACAAACAAACTCAAATGTGACATGAAAAAAAATGTTTTTCACTTACAGTTAAATGGCTCTCAGTTCACATGATGCCTGTGCACAGTACTGTATATTTTTAAAACAACCTTTCAACTGGATTTCACCACATTGTTAAGAATTGTGTGAAATTTCTTTCATGTCAAGATGGAGGCAAACACACTTCTGGTGCACATGTCAACAAGCGATTGTTTATTGCGCAGATTCCACACAGGTAATGAAATATCTTATTTCTTGTGTTACTTGATTGGCTGTCGCCTTGCATCTCCAGTCCAACATCTATTCTCCTCTTTTAGGATCACATCTTTTCAGGATAACTGGATTAAACTTGAGGAATGGTTTGGAAACGCTGGCAGGAAAAGTATTTTGATCCGTGTGAATGCAGATGTAGCGATAGAGGAGCTTTACATGACCATGAAAAGTATCCTACAGAAGACTATAGTACAAAAACAGGAAGGTAAAAAGACATTAATACATTGGGGAAAAAACCTTTTGTCCGCCTCTGTGCAGAGGAGCATAACCTTTTAAGAACAAACATGTTGACGTTTATGACATTTTTTTCCAAACTGCTGCCCCAGCTCCTAGGTTTCCTCATGTTGAGGAAGTTGTGTTGGACACCCCTTCAGTGTCCCCCCCTCCTGCCGTGAGCTCTGCCCAAACGCCGGCCCTCACAAATGAAGATTCCAAACATGAAGAATCCCAGTTGAGCCTTACTGAGGACAAATCCAATTCAGTCACCCCATCAGGTACAATGGTCACCTTTTTAATGTGTGAAAACCTGCTTGAAAGGTTTGCAAAGGTGTGTCATGGGGAAAATTATCCATTGTGTTGCTTAGTTATGGTGAAGGGTTGTGCACAAGCACTCACACTGTGTGTGTGTGTGTGTGTGTGTGTGTGTGTGTGTGTGTGTGTGTGTGTGTGTGTGTGTGTGTGTGTGTGTGTGTGTGTGTGTGTGTGTGTGTGTGTGTGTGTGTGTGTGATCTGCATTGAATAGAGTGTGATAGCCTAAAAACATTTTTGGCGGATTGTTAAGAAGGCTAAAAAAGAGGAGTGGCTCCAGAGATGCACCCTGGGGTACACCCCTCTCAATGATTACAAAATCACACACACACACACACACACACACACACACACACACACACACACACACACACACACACACACATGAACTCCAATATATCATCCGGTCTTTGAGGTATGACTGGAACCAGTCTAGCCCGGTGTGAAAGGTGAGAATGAAAAGTACACCGGTGTCAGCTGAATTGGACTAGAAAGACTCATAAAGGCGGTAAATAAGAGTGGAGTTGAGTGGCGACTATTGTAGATGTCATCAGAATTTAATAGACTTTTCTCCCCAAGCTGCAGATCCAGCAAGCAAGATGTCAGTTGACTCAGTGGCCGATGAGGACTTGCAAGAAGCCCCACCCACTTCTACCTCACCTATCCCGGGTTCTTCCCGCTGGGTCTATGTAGATGAGCCACTTTCCTCAGTAGGAAACAATTTGTCTTCTTATCAGAAGACTGTAGCGTAGAAGAATTCCCGTCATGTCGCGTTAACTTCTCCTTTTGTTTTCTACATGTCCTCATTTAGGATAAAGCGGAGTATCTGTGCCAACAGTGGGAGTCAATATGTGATTCTTACGTGAGCAGTGTAAAGGCTGTGATGCAGGAGCTCCGCTTAGAACGTACTGTTATTGACCAACACTTGTATGATATCAGGTAAATTATAATTGAAAGTGTGTTTTCATTTACTGTAATAATGCATTGATTCTCAAAGTATGGTAGGAGTACAGTACCGCTTTTGGTAATCAGGCTATTTCCAGTGGTACTGTATACATAAGAGTCATCGGATTCAATACTGTCACCAGGGAAGTATACAACAATTAAAACTTTTTTTTTTTTTTAATAATCACTGAGACCTACTACTGAATGTTACTGAATTTTAATGTTGGCCATTCGGGTGCTACTTGGAGAGCAAAGTATTTTGAGGTGGTACTTGATGTAAAAAGCTTTAAAGCCACTGCACTAGTCATATTTATCACAAATATATTTTGCTGTAAAATCACTGAATAATGCAAAACAATTTTTTAATAATTCCTAAACTACAGATTGAAGAAAAGTAATGATGATTTTTTTCCCCCCATTGTATTCCATTCATTCCAAATCATGTGGCACTTCTCCAGAGAGGAGTTCAAGCAATTCCTAGAGCGGCCGGACCTGAAGCAGGAGTTAGTCTCTCAGTGGCAGAAGGACTACAATAGCATACCTGATGATCTGAGGAAAAACGAGGAGACCAAAGCAGAGTTAAATCATCGCCTGGATGTAAGTAAAAAAAAAAAAAAAAAGAAAAAAAAAAGACTGAACATAGAAGTGACTGAAGAATGTAAACTTAAGTGTTGTGATTGGTGCGAAGGACTTGCGGGAGCATTTGTGGGATATTGTCGACACGCACAAGGAAGATGATGAGACACAACGGGCTGTGCTCATACGTGAGAAATGGTTGGAGGACCACACCACTATCCTTGTCAACCATCATTTAAGACTCATACAGGTGACACCATTTTTCATGAAGTGGTCAAACTATTTCATATTTCATGTGGGAAATGACTAAAATTCCATTCCGAAGTGGTTCCAAGTATTTTGATTCCAGGACAAAAAACCAATCTCTACCTGGTGGATTAAAATAGAACAGATATCCCGACAAGTATGATGAAAGTTATAAGTTCTCCTTTGACTGTTCTCAGTCTCCGTGATTAAAGTTGTTTTATCAATTGGTCTTGAAAAACCAAATACGGGTACTTTTTTTTTTCTGGACCAATAAAAGTGTAACTGGATAGTTTCTAAAGGCACTCTCATATGTTTTAAAACTGCATTCAGCTTTTTCATCTATTGACATACTTCCTAATTAAGCTTTTTTCTTTTTATATTTGATGGATACATTACAGATTGTGAGTGCATACCGGTTACCCTTTATCTTCTGTCCAAAGTTGAAGCTAGACAAGAGTTGAAGCAAACAAACCCATTTGTATAATTTCATTCCCTCCCCCAGTGAGAAAAGAAACTAGATCAATAAGCAGTATCGACTGTGAAGTTGGAATTGTTAAATTCTTATGAATTCCCATCCCCAGTTATGATCTCATTCAGTACACCTCACCCTTCCTTAAATGTTTTTTAAATTTATTTTAATGCTTAAAAAAAAAATCTTTGTCTTACATAGGTGGAAATGAGCCGTTTTCAGAACACACGCAATATTTTGCGGGACTACTATCTTAATGGGGGTCAACAGGAACACCTGGACTCTATCCCCCTCCTTGACATTGAAGATATAGGACCTGCAAAGGTGTCTCCCTGCAATCCGATTCCCTGTATTATTTCTATTGATGTTGATTTTTTGATATACAGTAATTTTTTTTTTCAAAAAAATTTATATACTTTAATCCAAAATAAGCGTATGAATATTTGTGGCAATAATGCACAGTTGTATCATTAATGGATCTCATGTTGTTTGGGTCCAGGTACTTCGTGAGATCTTGATCGCCAAACACGACGATGCCCTCACAGTCATAAGTAAACTGGTAATGCGGCTTGTGTAAACACGCAATTTAGGAACATGCGCGTTTGATATGGAGCATGCATATGGAAGGAGTCTTTTTAAACCGCGAATTTTGTCCACGCATAGGTGTCAACAGAACCGCAGCAGGTGGAGCTGAAAGCGCAAGACGTCGAGAAAATCCAAGAGAAGGAAAAAGCCCAGGAGAAGGAGAAAGAAAAGGAAAAGGAAAAAGAGAAGGAAAAGGAGAAAGAGAAGGAAAAGGAGAAAGAGAATGCAAACAAAAAGAATAAAGACAAAGATAAAAAACAGAAAGGCAGTGAATTAATTTAGCATCATGGCTTGCAGCGGGTTATCTACTTTATTTTATAGTGCATATTGTATTCATCTTGTATTCAGGATCCCCATCCCCTCCTCCCGCACCGAGCCCACCACCAGCTGTGGAGACAGTGGAGAAGACCCCAGTGGGTGTTAAAAATGTCAAACAGAAACTCATAATCAAGGAATACACAGCCGCCTTGAAGCATGAAGGTACTGCTCGCTCACATCCAAATGAACACACGTTTCTTGACGCTGTTCTTTAAACATACTGAGATTTGAGGAATTCTGTTCAAAATGATAGAAACTCTTTGTGATTCTTTTGGAAAATAAAAAACGGCATTTATGGAAACATGCATATTTTGACATTATTTGTATCCTGGAAAGCAAATCACGGACTCGGTTTGAACATGTTCAACAAAAATTTACCGGTATATCATCTGTACACATGGCAATTTTCTTAGTCTTTTAAAAATACCACTTTGAAAACATGTTAGTGAGTTTGTGTGTGCGAATGTGGTTTCCAGAGAATTCATCAAAGGTACGAATTAAGCTGGTGAAAGGCCACGGGCTGGTACTGGTCAACTCTCTGCAAAGCAGAGCAGAAGAGATCTTTAGCGAGATGCGAGACAGCTTAGAAGCACATTACGTTGCACAAATGAAGAGGTCAGTGTCACTTTTTTTCGATGCCATCGCACAACGTGTAATATTAATGAAAATCAATGTGATGACCATGAGCCATTGACATTTTTTTTTTTTTTTTAGTATTGACCAACTTGCAGAGGTGGTGCGTCACTTCATCGAGACTGCTTCTAAACTCCAGAACGAGTTGGTGCTGGTAAGTAACGCCTTTTCGTGGGTTTTAATTTCTTTTTAAGTGCAGGTTCGCATAATACATCAAATATATATTGTGGCACCAGGGCATTACACCAACCAATCAACGTTTTGTTCACATGTGCCCAGACTGACCCTGATGAATGGATTTTTACCTCATTGAAGGTTTGTTTGAGGCCCTATAGGATTTGTATTCGTGTAGCCTTTCTGAGAGGATGACATTTGAGGGTACTTCGTGGTGAATAAAAATCTCTCGCTTTTTGGTATAGTCCATATTTTCTTGGTTTTAGGAAAGTATTGATTTCTATTTGAATGGAGACTCCCTATTGATTCCAAGTCCACCAACCCAACTGAGCCCACCTGCATCGGAGAGAATAACAAGATCAATGCTAACAGTTCTTCAGCTGGACGCGCTGTACCACTGTCTTTGCAATGAGGCTCCAACAGGTAAACCGCCTGAGCTTTGTTGGTTTCTGTCCAGCCGCCTTTCCTTTCTCCTAATTCATTATTTTAATCCTTCCTGTTTCAATTTTCAGGTGTCATGTCCAGTTCTGAGTTCTTCCATCTGATCAGGGACATCCTCCCTTTCAACACTCTGCCCGAACCTTGGGAAAACATGACTGAAACACAGGTATGCTCAGTTCTTCTAAAATATTAGGTTTGTATTCGGTAAACAAGTCAAAACAAAATCCAGTTTGCAAACGACAATTAAGGCCTCACTGGCAGTGTCAGTCAAAATGTTTTATACAGCTGTTGAATTGAATGTCGTTTGATTCTGTCACTAATGTTGTGAGTCAACTCCGATTATGCGAGCCCTGTCATGTCTGTCATTTTCCCCTCTTGGTTGTATGTAGTTGAACGAGATCATTTCCCTGCTCACTGATGGATACAAACAGATAGACTGGCGTCGATTCCTTCTCAGTGCTGCCATCCCTTGGCCGTTTCCCTCCTTAACACAACTGCTGCTCGTGCGCAAGCATTTCAAGGCAGCAGACATTGATGACACAGGGTACATCAGTGAGGAACACTATCTGCAGGTTCGAGGCATTCTAACTTATTGAAGTGTGATTTCCATTTTGTGCCCTTGTTTAATCTGCCTTAACCAACTTGAGTGGTCATCTATTCAAGTGTTTCCCAACCTTTACTTTTCCAAATCACTTTTTTTTTTTTTTTTTTTTTTAAGCATTAAGCATTAGTTTGGTAGATTTTACACAATGCTTCAAGCTGTTTATTGCCACTTCCAGTTCCAAGTTTACTCTCAAACATCAATCAAAGATAATTTCATGTGACATATCTGAAACAACCTCATAACTTTGCCTTCAAGTCTCCTAGCTTAATGCTAACACATAGACAGGCTAATGAAAAGCATCTACATGGTAATGTTATAACACTTCTAGAAATGTGAACACAAATAGTGCAGCAACACATGTAGACCTACACAGGCACATATTTTGTGTCCTCTATAAAAAATGACTACTATTAATATAACTGACTGAGTCATTTACAGTAGTTGTTAAACTCTCCTTTCTTTGTGTCTGCATGACTGTATCATACTACATACTGGTGGCCAAGTTGCGCACATCAGATGGTCCAGATCATGATGTACAAATTGATGTAGAAATTCTTTTCATTGTTTTTAATTGTCATTGCTGTATGGTTTATGAAATACGACATTATCAAGTGCTACTTTCCTATCACATTGCAAAATTTTGTTGGGTTCTTGAAGAAGGCGTTCCCATTCATTTCAATTGAGAAAAAATATTTGAGATGTGAGTGTTTTGAGTTACGAGTGTGGTCACAGATCGAATTAAGCTCGCATATCAAGGCACCATTGAATAATGAAATAATAATGACCACTCAATGTGAAATCTAGGCCCGTTATTTATACACAAGGCTACAATATCATTCTGTTCTATGAAGTGCGATAAGTTCATTCGACCCTCTGCCACGTAGTGTAAGAGCATGTCATGATTCTGTCTGTCACTCTACATCACTAGCATATATAGATAAACAAAGATACATAATTTGCAGTGAATATAGTAACTCAATCATTTTTGTGGACGTGAAATGAAATCAAAGGGAGTTGAAATCATTTCTCATGGCACATAAATGTGTTCATTTGTCTATTCCTTTCCTAACACCAGACTGAGTTGTGGTTTTCCTGTGAGAGCGAGCAGTCCGTCTCCGAGGACTCCTATGAGCCTCTAAATAACCGTCGAACTAACCTGCGCAAGGTAAATCACCAGCAAGGGTGCCATTCCTGACAGCTATAACTATTATGACAATAGCGCCATATGTTTCAAAACGATCTCCATGTCTTTGCTCCATAGTTCTTTTTCCAGCTGTTTTCCGATCACTCTACCACGCCACCTCAGCTGGACTACATGACCATGCTGCTCTGCTTCGCCTCAGATCCCGATCCCAAGCAGGGCTTCATTAAAGCATTGAGTGTAATGACGGGTCATCATCTCCAATATCCCACCTCGAGCTCTCTTGACACTGTGAGTTCATTGGTTTTCAGGGAAAAAGCATCAATCATCATCAATTGGCATTCTGCAAAACATTCCAACCTCTTGGCACATGATTCATTGACGCAAGACTTGTTGCATATGCAGACTGAAATCAGCTTCGGGGAGAACACGGTGCCCTCTGGCTCGGAGCCTGAAGAAAAGCGCAAAGACGAAGAGGAGTGGGCAGCGAGGAGCAGACAGACAGTGTCCATTCCAGCTCTCCTATCTGTCGTGGGCCCCGAAGTGGGAAAAATGAAGGGTGGTGTCAACCCTCCTTCAGGCTGCTTGAGCCAGGAGGAGAACGTTGAGGTATGCTGGGGCCAAAGTAGTAAAAATGCTTTATATTGCACCACTTCAAGTTGTACCAAGGCCTGTTTGATATGGAGCAAGACTTAGTTTTCGAAGAGAGACATCAATAAGAAAAAAAAAGCACATTGGAATCAATGTCTGCCCTTTCTAAATGTTATATAACATTCAATAGAACTAACGGTATCACTACCTTTGCTACCCTGTAGCATCTGATGCAGATATTCGCAGAGCTGGGCTACACTCCAGAAGATGCCATTCCTTTCTCGGTCCTCTCTGAGCATCCTTCCTTTCATAACCTGATAGCGGTCACTGACCACCACTTGTTTGTCGTAAGTCAAGACTCTTCTCTCTTTTTTTGGGGGGGTTGGAGATACTTTCCTGTACACAAACACTCTTAAACACACATTTTGTTTCACATCACAATTCACAAAATCAAAAAAAAAACAAAACATTCCATTTTCTCAAAAATATTTTTCGTTCTCTTTCAGAACATTCATAATGTGCTGCAGGCCCGTCAGCCACAGGGAGAGGCTCAACAGTCTCCTAAATGATGACATAATACAACATCCACTTTCTGTCTTCCTTGTCGAAGTAAACTGTTAGGAGAGAATAAATCGATTTAAAAAAAAAAATCTAAATTCTTGCTTAGTGACCGGTGCTGAATGTGTTGACTATTCTACAGTTTCAACATGAAAACTTGAGTTCAGTGACAAGGCAGGCTGACTGAAAACATCAGCCATGATGGGACTGACCTCTCTGACTCCGCATTCTTTTTCCTGAAACACTCCAGCAGTTTTTCTGATTCACTTGTTTTTCTAATGACCTCTCTGACACAGAGGAGCATCGGTTTGCGTCTACAATGAGCGCATTGTCCAGGATAGCCTACATGTCAAGCCTCAGTTGCCAGCAGCGACCTTCCGGAGCACCCACAACCCTATTGTAGCTCATTTAGCCGGGATGCGCTGTCCTACCTACTGCTGCGCCCCTTCCAATCAATCTCAAAATCACCAAAACAAACATATCATTAATGCATTATTTTAACGCTAATATTAGCCAACAAATTACATTTTGTCAAAAACAGGAATATCAGTGCAGGCCAAGATGGTTAATGCCGAATTATAATTGTGTTGCTTTTAGTTAACATTCCTATTTATCCAATTTGATTGAAGACGCGCTTTGGGGGACCCTGAGCCCCCCTTTTGCCGCCGCCCCTCCTCCTGGTCCCTCCCTTTCATTAACACTGCAGGTCCAATGCTGGTAGACATGTGAGTGTCTGACTTTTAGAAGAAAAACGGAGAGGCTAATGTGTTATGTGGACAGAACCACGCACACAGACTGGCGTGCCGACTCCTGAATGACAAGGATCAGCGCCTTCAGGTCGGAACTTTTGCATTAATCTACACTGACAGCCAAGCAAAGTGACACTCAGACATTGTAGGCGCTTTCTCCCTTTCATCGGCTTGACTCTGAATGTAATGCTCTCTTTCTTTCTAATCAACCTATTTTTTGGATGCTTTTGTTTTTTCGTGCGTGAAATTGTTTTCCCATTGTAATTGTGCCTGCTACTGTCCGCAATCATAATTTTACTGTGAGTTTTACAAGGCAGACACTCGCACAAGAACGCTTTCATTACAGTTTATTTTTGAACTGGAAGACTATTTACGGGACTTTGGCCGCAGATCAGGGTGGCACCAACGACATGGGGCTTGTGGTTTGGATGTGCTGGCTGCTGGCTCTCCCACTGCTGCAGTCTGCCAAGATCCTGACTGTCTGCCTAATTGGTGAGTAAGGGAGCATGCTTTTTTTTTTTTTTTTTTTTTTACACTCCCCCATTTTCTTTTTAACTAGCCGTCAAAAGAGCAGATGAAAAAAATGACACAGAAATTCTATACTTATTTATTTTTTAAATGGATATATTTTTAATAAATAAGTGGGGGTATAAGTCTGGGCACTGATTCCTTATGCTATGTTGTGGCTCTGATTGACACATTTTGCAGTTTCAAATTCAAGGAAAATGTTTAAATGTGGGGAAAGAAATTGAACCAAACTTCTTAGAACTGGTTTGTTCTATTCGTATTTTAATAAGATAATATGATTTTCAGTATTTTCAATTTACTTGGGATGTTAAATATATTGACCCATCAGTAAAATGAAGGGTCAAAAGTTAAAAAATGACTTTTTTTTTCCCCCCCAAATATTTATACACTATACAGTTTCCTCTCACATCCCCCAAAACTTGCATACCGGTATGTCCATTTGAAAGGGAAGTCAAGTCAAAAATGTTCTTGACAATAACATTTTCTTTGCACGGCCACGAGTGTAAATATTACATTCTATTTAAAATTGTGTTTGTGAAATATGAATTGAGCAGCATTTTGACACTTGCTGTTGACTGAAAATGACATCATGACCGAAACTAAAAAAAACAGGTGATCCATGGTTGGTCGTTATCTGAGCCTTGAGCAACTGTGATGTCGTTTTCACTCGATAGCAAGTGGCAAAATGACTAATTCATATTCTTCCTCTTATCCTCACGAGGGTGACGGGCATGCTGGAGCCTATCCCAGCTGTCATCGGGCAGTAGGCGGCGCACACCCTGAACCGGTTGTCAGCCAATCACATAAACGAACAAGGGACAGTTTAGAGCAGGGGTGTCAAATTCCGGTCCTGGAGGGCCGCTGTCCTGCATGTTTTCCAAGTTTCCCTGTTGCAACACACCTGATTCAAATGATCAGATCATCAGCAAGCTCTGCGCAAGCCTGACATTGAACCTGTTCATTTGAATCAGGTGTGTTGCAACAGGGAGACTTGGAAAACATGCAGGACAGCGGCCCTCCAGGACCGGAGTTTGACACCCCTGGTTTAGAGTGTCCCATTAACCTGCCATGCATGTTTTTAGAATGTGCAAGGAAACCGCAGTATCTGGGGAAAACCCACATAGGCATGGGGAGAACATGCAAACTCTGCACCGAAAGGCCGGAGCCGAAATCAAACCCACCACTTGCACTGTGAGACGGACGTGCTAACCAGTCGTCCACCGTGCCTCCCTAATTCATATTCCAAAAAGTCAATATTCATCTAAATCATGTGTTTGGACAAGCTAGGGCGAGTAGAACATATTGAAAAGAAAATGTTTGACTTGACTTCCCACTCTAAATTTTCTGTGTGAATGCATGTTAACCTCCATGTGCCCTGTGACTGACTGACAACCAGTCCTGGGTGTAATCCGCCTTTCACCTGGTGTTGGCTGGGATAGGCTTCAGGTTCCTCATTAGCTGTGCCTGTATCTAATAAAGTAGCCTTGAGTACCGTGTAGCTCTACTAGCCCAGCAGTTGTCAATGCCGTCTCTCCTGCAGGAGGAAGCCACTACTTGTTATTTGACGAGATCTCCCATAACTTTCACCTGCACGGCCACGAAGTTCGCATGCTCCTGCAGCTGGGCAACCCTGTCATTACAGGTATTGTTTCAGATTGTTGTATTGTTTTTCTGCAATATGAATTTGTATTGTCCTTTTTAAAGTAACGTCACGTCTGTCAGGTTTGTCCTACGGTGGTCGCAATGGCAGCTACCGGACCAGCACCTGGTCCCTTGGAGAGGATTACATTAAGCAGTACAACGGCTGGTTCTTGGAACAACAAGCACAGTTTCTACTGGGCCGGTACCACACTTTTAATCAGCTTTTTACATTCATTTTATGCGTGTTAAACATGACCCCCACCTTCTTTACTGTTAAGATTTGGAATCAAACTAATTTTCTTTGAACAGGGACAGCTTTTATGGCTTTTTGAACTTCATGGGCCACCTTTCCTATCAGTGCGACAAGCTCTTAGGGGACGACGATCAAATAACTTTCCTCCAGAAGGAGCAATATGACGTCGCTATCCTGGATGCTTTTAACCCCTGCTCCTTCATCGTAGCACACAAACTTGGTACTCAGTGATTATCTATTAAATATAAGTGTAGAGACTTCTGAATATTTCATTCCACTCCCATTTTTCCTCATCCAGGTGTCCCCTACATTGCCTTTTATCCAGGTTCTTTGAATGGCCCCCTGTCCATTGCCATCCCGGCCTCCATTTCCTCAGTGCCAGCTTTCAGCTCCCAGTTGTCGGATCGCATGGACATCTGGGATCGTGCAAAGAATTTCATCTACACGCTGCTGGGTGCTGTAGGTAAGGATGCCTAAAGTGTATCAACTGTTATCTGCATTGCTTCATTAGATTACAGTGGACTCAAATGTTGCGGAATACGGGTCATCTAAAATAACATTTGTATGAATACATGACAGAATCAAACTGGTGACCTCATAAAACATTTAATTGTTCAAATAATCATTTTATTCGTGGCATTGTAATTTTGAGGTTTGACTTTAATTTTGAAAATGTCATAAGAATTAAAAAAAAAAAAACTGTACTAACAACGCCCTAAAATGTTCCGCTTCTCATGAAAAGGTCAGAAAATTGTCTGGTCCATTTTCAAGGACATAGCCGAGCGACACCTTGCTTCGGGCTCCCCGCCTGGTGGTCTGGACGAATTCCACCAGAGGGCAGAACTCTGGGCATTCAACACCGACTTTTCCCTCGAGTTCCCGCAGCCTCTCTTGCCTGCCACCGTGTTGATGGGGGGGCTCCTCAATAAACCTGCTGAGCCTCTAGAACGGGTCAGTGCTCTTCATTACAACATAGTCTGATATGTAGCTTATTTTGGAAATGGACTCTTTATTATTTTTGTACAAATAGTTGGGTCTCTGGAGTGCCTGCCCACCCATTAAAAGTGTGTTTGTGTGTGTGTGTGTGTGTGTGTGCGTGGGTATGTGTGGGTGTGTGTGTGGTCGTAGTGTTAAGCAGCAGTGCTCAATTTTGTTCATATGCACAGAACAGCTTTTGCCAACAGTGATAGTTTGTGAAAAGTGACTCATACTGGACTCAATAGGTTGTGGAGTTGAGGACTCAGTGGCGGCGTGGAGGGGGTTGTGTGTGGCGATGCGACCATGCGCCACATTACACACATTATGGCAGGGGTCACCAATCTTTTTGAAAGTGAGAGCTCCTTCTTGGGTAGTGATTAATGTGAAGGGCTACTGCCTACCAGTTTGATACGCACTTCTGAAATAACACATTTGCTCAGACCTTGGATTGTCATGAATAATTAATGATGTACTGATCATTTTAATGATTTCTCGCAATCTCTCTCACAGTGAAGGAAACAAATTTAAATCAATACAAAACTTGTTTCCATAAATTCCTGTGGATGCTGACGTTTTCAAATGATCATTTCTGCAACATCCCTAGGAAATCACAATGTCCCAACCCCCCCCTCAAAAAAGGTCTATTCTTGTGTCCCTTGCAGGATCTGGACTTGTGGATCTCCAGTTTCGGAGAGTCAGGATTCATCATCGTGGCGTTGGGATCGATGGTCTCTTCTGTGTCTGTGGACCGGCTTCTGGTAGAACTAGTGGATGGCTTTTGCATGATCCCCCAGGGTGTGATCTGGAGGTACCAGCTAGTCATGATGTTTGCACTCACCTAAAACCTCTGTTTTTCAATCATGATGCTACTTTTTGCTTTCAGGTATGACCGTGACCTTTGGCCACGTCACTTGAGCAAACCTTCCAATCTCTTACTCGTGGACTGGCTGCCTCTCAATGACTTGCTCGGTGTTTATCCACTTTATTATACACTGCATAACACTTGGTTGTATGTAAACATATTCGCTTTTACTTGACAGCGGTTGGGTGGTGTTCATTGGTGTAGAACTGCATCACATTGCGTTTCTAATTATGAAATCAATGCAATTGAAACAGTGTCAGTCATAATTGGGTATTGGGCAGTGCAGCCATTGTCTATCCTTCCTGACTTTATGGGAAGTTACATCCTTGATTGGCGGTCAGTTAATCGCAGCAAACCACCTTCCTCACGCACGGATAATTTAGTCTTTGCATATCCAGTACAGTAAAAAAAAAAAACAACTATCACATCAGAAACATGTTAGATGTTACTATGCATTTTTTAAAAATTATTATTATTTAAATATTTAATATATTCATCACCTTTTTCAAATCAAACATTCCCATTTCTTCCAAGGACATGACAAGGTGCGCCTTTTCATCACCCACGGAGGTCAGAACAGTCTTCTGCAGGCGGTGTATCACGCCGTTCCCGTGCTGGGCATCCCCCTGTTTGGAGATCAGTTTGACAACGTGGTGAGGGCTGAAGCAAAAGGCCTCGGCCTCGCCATCAGCCCCACGCGGATCACCGGCAAGCTGCTGAACTCCACCATCCAAACTGTCATACGGAATGTCAGGTGACTTGCATGGTTTCACAAGCAATCAATTTCATGAAGAAAAAAAAAACAGCCAAATGACTCAAACAAAATTTACAAGACCTTTGGTCATGTAAATGCTTATGTACTGATATCTTTCTCGCTTATATTCTTCCTGTGATTCCTCCACCACTAGTTTCAAGTCGGCAGCTTTGTCCCTCAGCCGTATCCACAGATCACACCCCGTGCCCCCCGCACTTCGACTTGTGCAGTGGGTGGAGCACATCCTACACAGCGGAGGGGGAGCTCACCTGAGGCCTGCCTCACTGCAGCAGTCGTGGTATCAGAGATGCCTGCTGGATGTGCTTTTCCTCATCGTGATGGGTCTTGCCGGGTCCATCCTTCTCTGCTGGATTTTCTGCAAGAGCAAGACAAGCAAAGGTGACAGTAAGAAAACACAATAGTAGCACTCTTTTGGTCTCCTGGGGAAACCCTCTGTCGATCCAGCTCATAACTGAGTCCGCCGCCTTGCTCAAGGGAATCAAACCTGAGACCTTTTGATCATAGGTTGCATTATACCCATTTCTTCACATTTAGCATGGTTGTTGCAAGCCCAGCATGGAATTTGTATTCAAATAAGGCAAGTCGTGTTGATGTAGAAGATCTTTGCGTGATCAAAAGTCCTGAAAACACATTTTTTTAATAAAATGATTCAAAGTCTCAGTGGAACCTCAAATGTTGAACTCAAGTGTGATTTGTTTGGATTTGGAAATCATCTGAAGCTAGGAATGTTTTAAGTGAGATTTTAAAGGGAACATATTACAGAAAATTGATTTTTAAATAGTTCACATATAATTAGTTGTCTCTCTCTGGAATGGCGGACCACCCATCACATCAGACAAACAATCAAGTAAATCTTTAATGTCAGCCTTGCTCTGCTTTAAGCGGTTGTGTGTGTGTTTGTGTGCATGTGAGTTTGGGGGCTGGGGGGGTGGGTGGCCGTGTGGCCTCCAGGCTCTTCTTTTGGCACCCACACCTGCAGGCCTCAACTCCGACCCCCGCGGCCTCCCCTGCTTATTGGCACAGTCTGCTTCCCACTCCTACACAAGGCCCGCCAATGTTCACGGTCAGCGCTCACCCCGCAGTGGAGAGCAGAAAAGGTCTTGGAGGACCTCTCCCCTCCCCTTCCTCTGCCCTTCTTCCCACCCCTTACATCTGTGTTGGGGGGGAAAAGATAAATTAGCAAGGGAAAAAAATGACCAATTAGAACGGCATGTTCTCTCTCCCCCCATTCAGCTGTCCAATCCTTCATGCCATCTCTTCCTTTCATTTGTCTGGCAGTTGCAGGTGCCAGTATGTCTTCCTCTGCCTCGCACGCAATCCCAAGTGGGCCGGGCAAAACGGGCCCAGGCATAATATAACAGCAAGCGGGGGGACAGATAATAATGGCAAAGGAGGGGAAAAAAAACAAAAGATGAAACGCCAATGAAGCAGAAGAGGAATGAAAGCAAACAAATTAGACGAGAGGAGGGAAAGAATTTGACAAGCCGTTGGCACGAAATGTTAAAGAAGAAAAACAATACAATTCACGGAATGAAACAACACGTTCACACATCTATAATCCGCTGCTTCACACACGCGGTAAAGTCAATGTGATAGTGGTTCATTGCCTGCATTGCTACACGGCGACAATGAAATGGTGGAATTGGCACGCCTGGTTTCGTCCATGAAAATGAAACCAAATCTTAAACTCTTTTAAACGTTGGGGGCTCATATCATCGTGGGAGATGCCAAAAAATCTCGTGAGACCTCAACTCAGTGAGCATCTAAAGCTTAAACTCCACAAGTGTTTTGTTTTTTTGTTTTTTTTTTTCCCTTTGGCTTTTCTGTTTTTGTGATGTCACCGCAGAAGGATACCAAAGATGACAACGAAGAAATGTGATGGGTGAGTGATTTCACTTTATTTGTGGTTTTATTTCTTTTTTTGTGTGTGCATGGTTCACATCCCTACACTTGTATGACAAATAAGAATGTTAAAACGTCACTTTCAACAATGTCTACATAGTTGATATAATTCTTATGATGGTAACCGTTACCTAACACGTTACTTCACTGCATATGAGAACAGGCAAACTCCACAAAGGAAGGCTTGAGCTGGGATTCAAACTCAGGATCTTGGTTCCAAATTCCAGTCCCTAATGATGGGGATGTAGCGCTATCTAGTGGTGTAGAATGTGTGCCTCTGGTAAGTGACTTTCACAAGTGTATTTGTTAATTTGCTCTAACTTGACTTCCTTACAAAATTGGGTCTCAATTTTTTTTTTTTTAAATAGGGCAGCATGGTGCACCAGTAGTTTGCATATCTGCCTCACAGTTATAAGCATCTGGGTTTGAATCCTGGCGGCATGGGTTTTTCTCTGGTTATTCCGACTCCCGCCCACATGCCAAAAACACGCATTACTTGCCCATAGATGTGAATTTGAGTGTGACATGTTGCGCCTTGTGATTGGCCAGCGACCAGTCCAGGGTGTACAGCACCTGGGATGATGGAAGCTCCAGCTCACCCGCAACCCTAAGGGGTACAGCACTATAGAGGATTGATTAATAAAAATCCATAATACACTAACAACAGTATGTAACGAATCTACAGATTCAAAACGATTCATACATCCTGTAGTGGTTTTTAGTTTTGGTGTACCAGCCGGAAACTGTCATGTTGGCCTTTGCTTCTTATGCCTGAACAGTTTTTGAAATCATCACTTTTAGGCTGGGGAACGTCTCTTAACATATTGGAATAGGTTGCATTTTATTACAGTATTAGTATTATTCCAATTTTTGTTCATTACTAATAATGGAGCACAAAGTACCTCACACAATCCAAAAACATGCATGTTAGGTTTGGTTCATTGAAGACCCTCAGGCTCCTGAGATTGGACATAACATTGGCACAATCATCTAATTTTGTATACCATTAATTGCAATTAATTTGTATTATTTTGTTCCCATTAACAATAAAAAAGATATACAGTACATAAATCAGTCAATCCAGTTTACTTACCTTACAACAGGGGTGCCCACATTTTTTCAGCATGCGAACTACTTATTAAATGATCAAGTCCAACCGATCTACCAACCTTATTTATTTATTTAAAAATATACTTTATTTGTATGTACAATGGATGTTGTGTTCATGAATAACATTTTGAAAACATATCTCAAACAGAAAAAAAATGCAGGTTTTCAATCATCATTCCTCATTATCGTCATGTAGTAATATGTTCCTCATTGGTCAAAGCGCCACTGCAATCCGATTGGTCAGAATTTGACCAGGTGGGCGTAACCTTACGTCAACCTTCCTTTCGATAGCTGAAAGGTGGTACGTAACATGGCCATGGTCCTCTCCGTTATATGAATTAACAACGCTTACCAACGCTGCCGTATTTCTTCTCCGTCAAACGCATTATTATGATCCAGCTCCTAACACGGCGACGCGCTTGGAGGTGAAACACGGAAGAGGCCGAGGACAACTCCGCCATGGCGGCCACATATGGCTTCAAAGCCTGCCGGAAAATTCGCGGTGCGCAGATACGAGGTCTCCTGGAGGCGAAAGAGTTCTTCCTGTTCGACTGCGACGGGGTCCTGTGGCACGGTGAGAAGGCCGTGGCGGGCGCGGCCCAGGTGGTCAACTCGCTCATGAGGCAGGGCAAAAACGTCGTGTTCGTCACCAACAACTCGACCAGGCCGCGTGACAAGTACGTACACAAGTTCTACCGGCTGGGCTTCACCGCCGTCGCGCTGGAGCACATCTTCAGCTCGTCCTACTGCTCGGCCCTCTATTTGCGGGACGTAGCCAAGCTCCGCGGTCAGGTGTTCGTCGTCGGCTGCGACGGACTCCGGGATGAGCTCCGGGAGGCGGGAATCCCCTGCGTGGAGGAGGCGGACGAACCGGACGCCACCATTTACGACTGCGCCCTGGCCGCGGATGTCAAGGCGGTGCTGGTGGGCCACGACGACAAACTGACCTTCCTCAAGCTGGCCAAGGCGTCGTGCTACCTGAAGGACCCGAACTGCTTGTTCCTGGCCACAGACAACGACCCCTGGCACCCGCTGTCAAGTGGAAGGATACTGCCAGGTACGAAGGTGGTGCTCCGGGTACTCAGCCGAGGGTTATTCTTAGCCTTTGACTGTATTGTCTTTACCACAACTGATTAGGACAACTAAATTAGGTATCATAAAGTTTGAATCACCACGAGTCACTGATACACAATTAGTGCGACTGGTGCAATGCAGTTGTGTTTGTTACCAGCCTCTTACTCGTGAATTCCCACTATTCATGCTGGCTAGGGTCTCATGAACCCTGCTGCCTCACCGCACCAAAGGCTGTTGTAATTTCTAGAGGTGCCATACAATTGTTGCAAAGCATTTAAAATGCTGTAATCATTTGAAGCAAAAGGTATACCTCAAAGCGAAGCACAAAGATCATTTTCCATTTGGACCAATATTGCAGGCTCACGCTCCACTCGCTGTAGAAATATGTTGGCACTGTATGTCTGAACCAGGAGTAAAAAGTTGCTGAAAAACAGAACGCGCAAAGTTTGGGATCAATTCATATTTGCAGTGCAGTGAATCCACTGCAAAGCAGAACTGTCTTAAACAACAGCACATCTATGATGAACAACTGAAGGTAATGAAGTTGTTCTCTTTATTGAACATCTATCCATCCATTCTCTAAACCGCTTATCCTCACAAGCGCGTCAACCTCACAGTGCAGAGGTGCAGGGTTCGATTCCGGCTCCGGCCGTCCCGTGTGGAGTTCGCATATTCTCCCCGTGCCTGCCTGGGTTTTCTCCGGGTACGCCGGATTCCTCCCACATTCAAAAAACATGCATGGCAGGTTAACGGAACACTCTAAATTGTCCCTAGTTCTGATTGCAAGTGTGGATGCTTGTTCGTCTTTGTATGCTCTGCGATTCCACAATTTGAATTCGCCATGACCAACTGGAGAATATAACAGGGATACACTGTACCACGATCATCTCACAATTGCCGAAGTCATCACTACTTATCTAAAGACGCAGTATTGTAACAGTGCGCAACTATTGATTGTCAAGGCCATGGGCATATTAGATCGAATTTCATTGTCATTGAAATAATGGCAAACAGGGTCAATTTGACTTTAATATTGAAACCTGATTGTTTTGTTGCACAAACGTCATTGGCACCGTGGATTCCAGTATCTCAGCAGACTTGTTCAGAGAGATGACATTGCTAAGTTTGATATTCATCCATCCTGATTTTTGTCTTCCCCGATAGGTTCTGGATCCCTCATGGCAGCCCTCGAGGTGGCCTCGGGCCGCAAGGCCACAGTGATCGGCAAGCCGAACCGCTACATGTTTGAGTGCATCTCCAGCCAGTTCCCGGGCATGGACCCGGCCCAGTGCCTAATGGTGGGCGACCGCCTGGAGACCGACATGCTGTTCGGCTCCAACTGCGGCCTGGACACCATGCTTACCCTCACTGGGGTGTCTCAGATGGAGGAGGCCCACCAGTATGAGAATAGTGAGGAGTACCAGAGCCTGGTGCCGGACTATGTGGTGGATACCATCGCTGATTTGTTGTCTGCATTTGAGTAGTTGCAAGAGCAGAGCAACTGATCAGTGCAGTGTGTGAAAAAAAATGCAATTGACACCTCCTCACCCATCCTTAAAAATCGCTTTCAAATTGTTTTGAGAAAAAAAAAATCAGCCTCAGTACATGCGCAGGGAGTAAAGAATCTCTGCACCAACCCAGGCTAAACTGAGCTCCTCCCTGATATTAAAGTGTCTCTCAGTTAAAATGTTTCATTATAACATTTTGAGAGGATTTTGGTGTCATGCTGTGGCATGAAGGATATACAGTGCCAGGAAGGGCACAAAAACTGATCTTCAGCAAATTACACAGGATGGGTGGGGGGGGGGGGAATCCTGTGTGAATTTTTGAATGATGAACTACTATAATTTCAAGCATCCTGTACCTCAATGTTAAGCGTCCTAGCCATTTGTGACCAATTGTTTCAGCATTTGTATTGCACCTTCTATGAGCTTTCATGTCTTGATACCAGATGAGTATTTTTGGTGGAGGGGACGATGAGTGAACATTTCATTTTAGCCTGGAAGCACCAACATCACAACTAATTGTATTTCAACAGCATTTCTCCATTTGACAATCTGTCAGTCACATGTGCCAATGCAGTATTACAATTTACTGGCTGCAGTGAAGCCACTAATTGAGGGATTATTTTTTACCTCTTATAAAGCCTGTCACATGGATGTCAGTGACCACATCACTTTCGTGATTATTCAGTGTTAGCATAGAGCATGTTGGCAACAATAAAAACTGCATTTATGCTAAACATAGTTGCGTGTTTCGCGTTGACATCAGACACACAGGAACACCAAAACAAAATAGAATATTGCTTTAATGACTTGGATGTAGCATTGGAACAAACACCGCCCAACTCAGTGTCATGCAAAACAGACCTCAGTTGTGGGAAGAACTCTGGAGCAATGTTTTCCACAGACCACACAAGTTAGTCAACAGAAGCCCAAAAAAAAAAAAAAAAAAGCAGTCTGGTGCAAGATGCCAATGCAAGAACATCCAGTGTTCGTTTGTCCATAAGAAACGTCCTTCAAAAGGTCATCAAAACACAAACATACTCAATAATAAAAATATGTACATAATGAGGATTTGTGTAATATTTTATTCTACATTGTGTGTTGTGGCTTTGTTTTTTGTTTTTTTGTGCCAAGAAACGAAAATCCATCAGGATGATAACCACCATAGACAAGGACTTTGGTTGCAGTTATTGTAACGGGACATATCATTCTGGTCCACCACGCTGGAACAACAAGAAAACAAAGTACACAGCTGTAATCGTAACTCATTATATTTAACCATTGGCTAATTTACCTGAATGTAATCCATTTCTTCGACCACCAGCGGTCTCCGGCGGTACCTCGCTGGGAGCAGCTGAACGGACGCCAAGGTGTCGGGTGTGCCCGGAATGGGCGGCAAAGTTACACGACTTAATATTTGTGGTGCAGCTGAGGCTGACGCCGAACTGTTGGGTTGTGGGACGGTGACTAATAAAGTTTTCAATGCTTCTTGGACTGGAGGAGAAAGATAAACAAATGCGGTTATCAGAATATGCGGGAAATTAACAACTACTTGCCCTTAAAAGTCTAATATGGTGGCTCTCAAACTTGTTAGACAAATGTGTGTATCGTGCACACAATTGAACTGTACTTGGACAGTAATTCTATGAAAAATCGCTAGAGGGAGCCAGTAAACCAAAAATGGGATTAGATCACAGAATCACAGTTTAATGCAAGACCTGTGTATTGAAAAAAAGCTAACTCAATCGTGTTTTGGGTTTTCATTTAATGTCATATTTTGGAAAAAGACAATGCAACTCACCATTGGGCTTAGGGATGCCTTCTCTGCTGGGAAATTTAATCATGGGCGCATGAGGCCGCACAGCCTAAGGAAAGCAAATAAATCAGATGGAATGAATGGACTACAATGAGCTGTTCAAATGAGACTACAACCTAAAGTATATATTCAATAAAAAAAAAAAAAAATCCTTTTTATGTTCTGTTGGTCATAGTTCCGTAATAAATACAAAAACATTTGGACAGGGAAAAGTCACCTATGTAAGCAGACTTATTTTTATAAGTCTGCTTACATAGTAATTTGATTTGTTTCTTACATAGTAATCATAATTTGATTATAAATTATTTTCTTTATAATCAAATCAAAAGGGAGTTAAACGACTGAGCTATCATATCGGTTGTTCAGATAAATGTCACGCCACAATTAACAGACAACTAAGTGGTTTCCTTGATGACGTCATACAAAAACAACTCAAAGACCTATTTTTGTTCCTGGTAAAAATTTAAAAATAAATCAATTTTAAAAAACAGGTGACGCCACTAAAATAGATTCCCGTTCATTAAACGCCGCTTACTGTCATCAGTCGAATAAATAAGCGCTCCACGATAATAATTTGAGGAAATACAGCGTTTATTTTCCTGTATCAGTCCAAATTCAACCGTGTGGCCTGCTATAGCAGCTTCCTGAGCACGCTCATAAGACAAACTGCATGACATTTAATTTTACGCAAGTATACTTGAAATTGGAAAAACGGGTTGCCCATTTCTGTTTCAACGAGGGAAAACGACATTTGTGACAGCGAAAAAACAAGGACACTAACAAGGGTACAAGCAGATTTTGTCACGGCAATAGGTCTACGTCTTTGCGCTAATTCACTAAGCATGACCACCGATCAAAAAGTTACATTGTCGTTCATTGACTTTACACGGACATGACACGTAAAGCACACCAAATGTGAAGTTGTCAAAAAGAGACGTTACCTGAATAACGCGAGCGGTGGGAGCAGCCATTTTGGAGCTGACTTTGCTTCCCATGACGACCTCCACACTTTTAGTTCCGGGTTGGAAAATCGTGTCGCTTCTCTTCACACGCCACAAGATGGCACCGCCCACAACCCGCAGTGATGTCTGCAAAGGTCCTGGACAGTGAATTGACGAGCCTACACACTGCACACAAGGTAAATGACATTCACGTCAACACGTATAGCCGCCTTTAAATAACCCATACACAATTATGTACCCCGTCCCCAAATATTACGTTACCTATCAGGCAAGCAACCTTCTCTACGTCAGCACAGAAAAAGTAGTAGTTTAGCGTCCAACATAGACTCCCGAGAACACAGCCAAATTAAATTAAAGACCTAAATCCGCCAGTCATCTCATACTCCAAGAGGATGCACGAAAATATGTTAAAGAGCACTCATGTCGTCCAGAATCTGTTAGTGTCGGTTATCAGTGCCTGTCTTATCTTCGAATCGAAGACCTCTCAGATTTTTATACAGTACTGTATTACCCAGGAAATAATACACTCGTCATGTGATACGCATCGTCCAATAGGCAACGAGGAAACTAACAGTTTGTCGACAGAGGGAGATAAGTACAGTATATACAGCACTGTAATTATATCCACACACACACTAGTGCAGTGATGTACATTTAAAAACGAAATCTTGTAAAATCACTACTGGGCGTTTTGTTAATGTATTCGTGTATTTTACCATTTTAAAGTGTAAAATGACCGTGTTTAATGATTACAATTTTAGAGTCTTTGTAAATAAAGTCAACGTATGTCCATCCATCCATTTTCTAATCTCCTTATCCCCACAAGGGTCGCGGACGTGCTGGATGGATCCTATTCCAGCAGCCTTTGGGCTGTAGGCGAGGTACACCCTTAACTGGTTGCCAGCCAATCGCAGGGCACACATATACAAACAACCATTCATGCTCACAATCACACCAAGAGACAATTTAGAGTGCCCAATCAATGGAAGGTTTACAGAAATCTGACAATATTTGCTGTTCGGGGGGGCTAAAATCAGAGGGTTTTGACTATTTTATTTATAGAGTGCTCTATAAATACATTTGAGTTGAGTTGAGTTGAGAGTCTACTACATACTTCACATGACATTTTTGTTTTCAAGTGCACCATGAGATACTTCTAATGTAAAATGGTTGCCTTGGCTACATAAGGCTTGGGAAAATACTGAACTTCGAAGTACAAAGTCAGGTTTCATCGCTGCCGAGGCTCACAGGAACGAAACGTCATCATACAGCGAGGACCCCTTTGACCGCGATCGAAACGTGTCCAAAACCTTGGAATGTCCAATGGTGATTCTCCAATATGGCTCTTGTATGACCTATTATAAGTATAATCTATAAAATTCGATATGAGAACATTCCCTTTTTTTCCCCATTGTATATTCTTATATTTACGCATCTCATCGCAACAGTCAAGACACAGATTCATCTTCTGTTAGATCTGTTTTTATTTTACAAAGTGGTCTTGTTTCATGGAAAATAAAAAGATCCCGATCTTAAAGGGGCTTTCTCCATACTTGAGCTGCCACTGTGGCTTCACATGAACCCTACAGCAGTTTACAATCAGCAGACGCACACAACAGTGGCAGTTTCAAATGAGGTTCTGGCCCCCTGGGTGGTCAACAGGGTGAAAATGCTGATTTGCACACGTGTGTTTCCGTGAATCTGTGCTGTCAGGTCTGAGGATGGGCGGCACTTGTTAAATCAGTGGGTTTTTGAGCGCTCAAACAGCTCCTTGAGTTGTTGCTTAGTGGTGGCTTCTTTCTGCTGCATGAGCTCAGCGTGGCCTTTGGTAACACCCCAGCTGTCCGGGCTGGACATGGAGGAACACAGTGGACGACCAGAGGCCGGCTTCAGCTTCTCCCAGTAATCACGACGAGCTCTATGTCACACAAACATATAGAAATGCCATAAATTCCATACAAGAGACTTTTCACGGATTTTTAGGGCCCTGCCATGACTCCTCCGTTTTTTTGTATTATTTGGCGATGTAATTCCCATTTTGGCCACTAAGTGGGAGCACACGACTGTTTAACACTGTATAAATATGACAAAAGAACAGAATCAGGTGAGGAAGTCAGCCACATTTTTGTTGAAGAGATGAGAAATATAAAATGAAACATCTCAGTCGTCTCCTATCCTGCTTTAAATGTCTATAGAGCTGCTAAAATTCCAAAAAATTGCACCTGAAAACGTGGACTCACCCCCACTCACCCATTTTAAATAGCACCTTATGCGGCATATTTGCAGTAGCATATATGCTTATATCTTAGATTTTATATTTCATTATGTACTGTGTACAGTTCATTTTAAAATGTATTTTTGTGCATGCAAATACTTTGTTTTTCTACTTTTATCTTATCAACAACGCACTTCACCACCATATGAACACAATACCTTCAGTGAAGCATGGTGATAGCAGCGTATGTGCCCTGTATGCATATGTAACCCAGTGGTATACCTGTACAAGTGTATTATTATGGATTACCTGGCTCTGACCCAGGGTTTGGTGTGCATCTCCAGACCGGCACCCCACATTCCGTGTTTCTCCGATCCAGGGGGCACGATTCCCCTCTCAGCCGCCAGCTCCTCTGCAACAGCCCTGATGTGGTACGGCTCAAATCCGCAGCAGCCACCGATGAAGCGGATGCCGGCTTTGTAGGCCTCCCTGGCATACTCGTGCATGTCCCAGCGAGTCAGAATCCTCGGCTCCAGACCTAGATAAGGACATGATGAATTGCAAAGTGCCAATAGGTGTGTGACATTTTTTTTGCTGTTTTTCATGTTTTTGTGGGAATGCTTCTCAATTTGTCGACACTGAGGCTGTTGTGGTTCAAATTTGACCCATTCAAGGAAAATGTTGATAATGGTGTCAATTGTGAAACTCTGATATTGTACATGCTATAACGGTGCTTTTTTTTTTTTTTTTTTTTTAATGGAACATTAGTAACAGTGTCCAAGAATGATAATTGACTATCCAGGGAACTGTCTTTATTTTCATGACATTTGCAGAGATTCCCTAACAAACATGTACTTGTTGGGGTATAAATTCTGAGAAGTCTATTCAAAAATCCTGCTGCTCGCTGCTTAACTGGAACACGTAAGAGGGAGCACACAACTCCTATTTTGTCCAACCATCCAATGGCTGCTTCTTCAGTTACAATCTACAATACAATACTTTTTAATTTATCTCTCCAGCTCTACACATAATTTCAGAGTTAAAAGTGTAATACCTCGTGTGTGTGTGTGTGTGTGTGTGTGTGTGTGTGTGTGTGTGTGTGTGTGTGTGTGTGTGTGTGTGTGTGTGTGTGTGTGTGTGATTACCGAAAGGGAATTCTGGCAGGTCGATGAATCCCTGACAGTTGCAGTCAGGTGTATGGAAGGCAAGAGGCTGCACCATGTAGTGAGCCTTCAGGCCGGCCTTCTCTACAGCCGCCTTCATCATCTTGACAGCCTTCACACAGGTCAGTGGGTCGAAGTGACAGTTGACACCCACTATCTGGGCACCTATGCAAGAAGACGGCACACTGGTGTTAGCTCACAAAATTCACGAGAAAATAACCTGTAGCTGCGAAAAAAGAGCTATTACTGCGATTTATATCTGAAAATCTAACTTCCTTTTTGTATGGGTAGGAAGCTGCATACCTGGATAAATACCGGTATGTAGAATTCATTAATTGTGTTGTCATTGGAGTCACTGTTGTCCGTACGCCTCAAAATGCAAATGGTTGCTTCCCATCCGTCTAGTCTTACCTATTTTGTTAGTCGCCAGAATGTAAATTACGAAATGTATGTCTAAGCAAAAATATAAAGCCTTGTGATTTTTTTAGAAGAATTTTCTCTTTTGGGCAACTGAGTCACAATTGACTTTTATGTCCCTTTACTCAAATCAAAAGCAGTTTGATCTTGTAGCCTTGTACGAGGAAGTACCCTGCTAATTCAGAACGGAACCGGCATACACAATTATGGAGTCCAATGATTTCTTTTTTTTTATAGTGACTTTTGATTTTGGAGTCACTGTATCTTTTTTTGGCATTTGAGTCACAACAAAAGCAGGAAGGAGTACAAGGGCCGGAACCGATTAATGGCATTTTCCTTTTATTTGGGGAATGACGATTTGAGATACGAGTGTTTTGCATTACGAGGGTGGATGCGAAACAAATTGAACTCCCAAGTCAAAGCACCAGTGTAGCAAATACGGAGTCAGTTGTGTTTGTGTGCAAAGTAAAAATTCACCAACCAGCTTTGACGAGCCTGACAGCACACTCTCCAGGTGAGACACCGTGCATGTCGCCTTCTGGCCCGATGCACAGAGAGGCGGCCACAGGCTTTCCTGTCTGCTTCAGCACCTCCACCGCCCACACGGCCTCCTCAACGTGCTCAAAGTACTGCGGAAGGGGCAAATCTCAATGTGTGACAATGGGAAATCGACAATGCAGGTGCAGAACTGAGGATTCGCTTCTACCTCGGCAATCAGGAAGTCCACGTTCTTTTTGATGAAAACGTCCAGTTGCTTCTTAAAGGTGGCCTTCACGTCAGCTTCACTCTTGCAGCTCAGGTAAGATGGCGTCTGAGACACGCCTCCCGCCACCAAGGCGTCGCCCTCGTTGGCCACCTCGCGGGCCAAATCGCAGGCAGCCTCATTGATTTGGGCGCCCTGTGCAATGAAACCGACTAACTTAATGAAGCCATGCTAAAATGCGGCTAAGTTGAGCTGCTCCTGATGCACATATAGGAGTAAAAAGTACTACACTGATTCTATTGAACGTACGGTGTAGCTTTGCTTGTGGCCCCTGTTCTCCAGCTTGTCATCACTGGCGTAGAAGGTGAAGGTCTGCATGACATTGGCCCCTGCCCTCAAGAACTCCCTGTGCAACTGGCGCACTGGAATAGCAAACACAATTACATCACATGTACGGTTATTATAGTCAACGAAAGCTAACGAAATAACGAAAACTAAAAATGAAAATACATTTAAAAAAAGAGTGTTTTCAAAAACATTCATGTATTTAAATTAAAATTAAGTATTTTCCAAACTATTAAAACAAAGAAAAACTAAGAAACCCGCTCTGAAAACCAATTAAAACTAAATGAATTTAAAAAAAAAAATCAAACCGAAATAGAAACTAACTGTACCGTATTTTCCGCACTACAAGGCGCTTCCGAGTCTCAGGCGCACCTTCACTGAATGGCCTATTTTAAAACTGTTTTCATATATTGCGGGGCACCGCATTATAAGGCACATACAAACTACAATTGTGGCTGCGGTTGCGTTATGCATCCACTAGATGGAGCTACGCTATAGGGAATACAATACAGCTTTATTTATAAAGAGCTTTTACAACCACTGCAGCTGTAAACAAAGTGCTTGAGAGAACATTTAAAATACTACATCCAAGAAATCTGAATATTGATCCATACTTAAGGCGCACCGGATTATAAGGCGCACTGTCGGCTTTTGAGAAAACAGAATACTTTTAGGTGCGCCTTATTGTGTAGAAAATACGGTAACGAAAAGTCCAAAACTATCACTTGACCCCGACAAACACCAATGAAGACCATTAAAAAAAAGAGAACCAGAGAAAGAGACATCTAATGCAGGAGTGCCCAAATCCCAAATCACTTGTGATCCAAAACAACAAATAAATAGATACATGAATAAATAAAAAAGTCAGTTAATGCCTGATCGTCACCTGCTTCAGGGTGCTCAGCGGCAGCCTCAGGGGTCCACGGACCCGCCTTCACGTAGCCTCTCTTTTCCAGGGCGAACACAAAGCCGCCATCGCCGATCACCACTTCCCCAGCGTTGAGACGCTCCAAGATTCCCTGAGAGAAGGAAACAAAGCATGAGATGTCAATTTACGAATGCTAATAAACACACGCACAAAACCGATTTTCCAATTTAAACATACACCCGCCGGGTTAGTGGAATCAAAGTTGAGCCACAAAGGTAAACATTTTGCTTTGCAGGTTTTTCCTTCCAGCAGCATTTAACCGCAAAAGGGATGCTTGGAATTGTTACTGATGCATTTATGTGCATTGTGGAGGCTTGAATCAACAAAAGCAACTTTAGACCGTAACTGCCGTGCAAAACACTGCAACTAATTCGGCTCTTGCAGTCATGTTTATTCAGTTACTTGTTTTTTAATCACATAAGAAGTTGTTTGTCATAATAAAATAAAATCCATGATCCCTAAAATGCAATGTGTCATGTCGGCAACATGCAAACTCTGAGTACTTTGAGATAAAAAATGTGAGAGTAAGACTTTTAGTTTTTGTGGATCATTTTGCCTTTCCGTAATGTGAGCGCGTCTGTTGTTAATAGTAGATCTTTGACGTATTTCTATTCTCTCAGACGAGTTGTTTCAGTTGGTTCATAATATAGACGTTGTGAGTGTACTCCAAACGCTTGAGCCTTGGAAGGCTTTTCATCGTTTTACCAAAGCTGTCACTCACTCCCGGATTTTCCCTTTTTTGCATTTTGTTGCCTGTAAGGACAAGAGAACTTCATACAAACAAGAGAAGTTTTCTGTACTGGTTCGCTGGCTGTCTTGGTGTACTTATAGTCATGTGAACAGCACACAATACCATCCAACATTTCCATCCATCCATCCATTTTCTGATCCGCTTATCCTCACAAGGGTCGCGGGGCGTGCTGGAGCCTATCCCAGCTGTCTTAATGCAGTAGGCGGGGGACACCCTGAACCGGTTGCCAGCCAATTGCAGGGCACACAGAGATAAAACAACCATTCACGCTCACACTCACACATAGGGACAATTTGGAGTGTTCAATCAGCCTGCCATGCATGTTTTTGGAATGTGGGAGGAAACCCGAGTACCCGGAGAAAACCCACACAGGCACGTGGTGAACACGCAGACTCCGCACAGGAAGTCCGGAGCCGCAATTGAACCCTATACCTCTGCACTGTGAGGTCGATGTGCTATCCAGTCGGCCACCAGGCCGTCCCATCAAACATTTATGACCTCCAATTCATTGCACAGTTTAAAGGATTCAAACTTTGGGCATGTTTTCTGTATTTAAGCGCTTTCAGGAACTATTGAGATGCCCATTCTGAATACTCTCTGTGCAATTCCAATTTTATAGTTGCTATTGCCTACCTTTGCTGGTGCCATTTTCCCAGAGCTGCGTGGACCCCTGATTGCTCAGACTTTGTGACAGGTTGAAGCAGACATTAAAAAGGGTCAGAGCACTTGTTGAAATCCATTGCGACTAGGGGAGGGGTTGAAGCCAGAGACGCCCTGATTGGCAAAGCACTAGTTACACAACAACTGCCCCCTCTCACCTTTTGAAATGAATGAGTATGTTGTCAGTGCACATTTACTAGTTCAGTCCGGATGAATTACACTTCTGGTTTGTATGTGTGTCTCGGTTTGCGTGTGAGTGTTGCTGACTAGACACACTGATAAGATACACATCCTGTACGCAACAATCATGCCTATTTAAAAAAAACAAAAAAAAAAACAACACTTTCCAAGTGATGACAGCATTCAGTGCTAATAGGTGATACGTAGAACTTTAAACCCAGGGGAATCATTAAACCCGGAGTTTTTGTATTGACTTTTATGTGTTATGTAATGTTGTCCTGCTGGATGAGCTGATCTCGATCATGATCAAAAGTTCCTTTTTCAGTGGAAAACTTTATCTAAGGTTCAACAGAAAGCTACACAACAACCAGTCTCACGGCAAAATCAGTTTATGTATATGTCTGCGGTACAAAAGTTATTTAGATTTTGATTCGGTGTGAAGTTTCGTAACTCAGGTTTTCGGTCTGATCGCTTGATTTGTGTAATCTGGCTCAGTTCTGGATCCTAATCCAGAAATATTTTGTCAGTCGAAATGGTTGCACAAATAGCTACTCAACATACAATTGAAATCTGTTCATGACCATATTGAATGACTGTTTTTTTTTTTCATAATAAGCTGTATCTTGATTTTTTTCACTCTTGCGAGTCAAACCCAGAAAGTATTCATAACACATGGGTATGAATTGTTTTGGTCTTGACTGTCTGTTACGGTCTGAATCCAGATTTCAATCAATTTGTAAGATCTTCCCTTGAAATTTTGGAGTGAGCCACGCGTTTAGATTTTCCACGCTCTAATTGAACGTTCCTCATCATGATCCAAAATTAATCTGTAAAAATCTCATATACATCAGTTATTTATTTATTTGTCATTCTGAAGAGCCTTGACATTTTTTTTTTTTTTACTTTAGAGCTGCAGTTTTAAATGTGATCCAGATTGACATTCCCTGTCCAGATCATGTTTAAAAGTTAATCCGTTTGGCCCTTGGGTCATACGGGACCTACCGCCCACCATGCCTCCTGCAAAAAAAAGTCTGTATCATGTTCAAAAGTAAATCAATTTATCATATCGAAGCTATATTCCAAATTCAAACAGAATCACTTCATTTTTGTATGCGTGACAAAAGTATCGTGATTCCACACTCTTGGGCCGTCACAAAGTCCCCCCCCCATCGCCGATCACCACTTCACCACAACCGCATGCGTTCTAAATGAACTTTGCATGGTCTTCTTCATGCATGTTAGGCTCATTGAAGACTGCAGATTGTCCATTGGCGTAAACGGGAGTGTGAACAAATATGTCGATACAGTGAAGAATTCATGTTTATGAGTGCTTTCATGAAAAACGCTGAGGCAGTGGGTCCAAAGGTGCAATGATAAAAAGGCACTTTTGCGCCGAGAGCTGTTGCAGCAGTGCAGAAGATCAGTCAACAAACTGACCTCACTTATAAGGACAAGTATACTTATGCAGTCGACCAAGATACAAAAACTGGAACACAATTCCATACAATAATTTAAAACTATTGACACCCACGAGGAGGTTCTTTCAATTAACTCATGACAGTATCAATATTGTTCTTTAAACATAAGCTGCAATGACATTTCCAGTGTTTCATGTGTTTTCCTGCTATAGTTACAAAGGTCTGTCAATATTTTGCAGTTAGGCCATAGGTCCTTGGCCGACTAAAGTGACAGCAAAGGCCTGCCAATTGACGTGCGCTGTGACAATTGCCATCATAAGTTAGCGTGATGCTAACCAGCCTCCTCAAAAATAACCATATGTTTTAAAAAGTTAGCTGAAATCAGTCTCGGTGACACTTTAACACTCCTGCTGTAGATCATTATTTATTTTTTGCTTAACTCAGACGACCTTCTGGTTCTTAAATGCATGTGTATACACACGCACACACCCACACCCACACACACACACACACACACACACACACACACACACACACACACACACACACACACACAAACAAACACTAGATATGGTTGATTGACCTTCAGCAGAGAGCTGTCAGTTCTGGGTCGATCCAGTTTTAGGGAGATTAGCAGCGCACCGCCTCCATGGAGTCGATCCACAAGGTCGAAGTGCAGAAAAAAACGCCTCCAATCTACACTTTACTGGAGGGTTTTGTCATAAATATATCACATAAATGATCTGTTTGAACGACTGTATCTCAAAAGCACCTTGAAATTTTGAGAAATGAACAAAATCGATACAAGCTGGTACACTGTGCCGTTTTTATCAAGAACATTTTTTTCGACACACAACAAAAATCAGTAAATCAACAGAATGAGTATGTATAGATATATGTACCTCATTTTTACCAGAATCAAGTCATATTTCTTGTCACCCCCTTCTGGCCACTAGTTGCTAGGCAGAGTTTATAGGGTTCGACCATAACTGCCCTGTGTGTCAGACAGACACGCAATTTTAATTACTGTACTACATTGTATTGAATATTTAAAAAAAAAAAGTCATCCCCCACAAATTTGCTTGAGGTATTTTATGTTCCGTATGACTTTTAATACATGACATTACCTGACAGTGAACTCACCTCGGTTTACTTCGCAACAAGCAGCAGTTTGGCGGATGTTGATTTCCAGTATATTCTTTATCCTCCGGGCAAAACGACTGCAATTACAGCAGTTCACTGAGTTACTTAAAGTAGTTGTGAAACTCTTCTTTGTATGTGTCTCTGTGTATTATAACAGAGTATTTTCAATTAAATTAGGGTAACCAGCCATCTATTGTTTATACCACTGAATAATATAATAGTGGGGAGCCATCATTTTTTCCCTGATGATGGCGGACGACACTCTGGACTACACAGATACACAATCAGAGATGCAAGGTGCTCTTCAATTGCCTACGTCACGTACATGGCCAACAACATCATCCGCAAAGGGAGATCTTGCAGTTCACCTGCCAATGTCTTGCAAGGACCCCAGTGAGTCTCTCTATTTCCGCAATGTCAAGCACAGTGTGCTCGAGCGTACTGCACTCTGACCGCTCCGATTTTAATGCAAATGAGGGATGCCGCCAGGATTGGCCGGTAAAAGGCTAGGCCCCTCCCACAACGCCGCACAAGGACACAAACGTCCCATTACCCTATTCTACCTTTGTAAAGTCCAGCAAAATAACACGAGAAAAAGAACTTCACCCATATGCACAGCTGGACTGTGCTGGGAATGACGATAGGGCCCTTCGTCTTTAGTCATTTTTTACATTGTTTGAAATAAAAGAGCAAAAGACAAACATATGGCCAGTATAGTAAGATGGCCACTTTTTGCTCATGCTTGTGATTCTGTGTGCAGGCATCATTGTAGTTCTGTGTGGCTAGCAATACAATTTAGTGGCCTTAGTTCGACTGACTCTGCACAAAGGGAGCTCCTTTGAAGTAGTGTGAACGTGTGTCCCTTTTCTGGCATGTAGAGCAGCGTCCCAGCATATTTGCATAGCATGTATGGGTCACAGCGGCACTGATCTCATTCTCAAGGGGGTTAATGGCCACTCTGTTTGGACAATAGCTTCACATGGGGCTCCAAAGTTCTACTGCGGCCCGATATTGCATCACATGGACTGACCCCGAGCATTGTCAATATTTCCGTGTCCGCTTATGGCTCCAGGCTTTCCCTCCAAATGTTCATTTTTATTCTATTTGACTTCATTAACGTCATACAAAGAGATTGCTCTGGCCTATCATGATGAATGTGTGAAACTTTTTATTTAGAAAAATAGATAATGTCTGTTGTTCTTTTACTGTTGATTTTGCTCTCTTTAAAATGACATTTAGTCCTGTGATTATAAAAATCTAGCTTGTAAGAAGGACAGCTTTTTTGTAATATGATAACTTTATGAATGGCAAATAATGACTTTATCGCCGAGTTATTCTGACTTAATTCTCGTAAAATGACAACTTTATTCCCAAACTTGAACATTTTTCAGCTAAATTTGTTCATATAATCCTAAAGTATATTGGATTTTGTTGTTATACTATGATGAATGTTACTCATGGTCGTCTAATTTCATTAATCCAATAGGGTTGAGGTTGTGTGAAAAAATAAAAATAAAAAAACTGAAAATATAGCATTTCGGGCAGGTAGCGTTGATATGTGTAAACAAGAGTTAGACTGTGTGGAAACACATCTGACAAGCTGATAATGTGTGGTTAACCTTTTACTCCCCACTGATAAAATTCAGCCTTCTGACTTGTCACATGCTCTCTTGCTAGCAAAAGACATGCACTAGTCCTGCAAAAACAAACAAACCCCCCAAAAAATTCCCCTATGTGTATCACAGCGGGTCTTAATTATTTTTTTATGGTGTTCTATTGGATTTGAAAGTGTTGCTTCACTCTGTCTGCTACTATTTAACCACCATGCCCTCATTTGGTCCACTCACAGCTGATGTTGCACAACGAACTGCCCATACTTGGGGGGGATTTGTTGCCCACGCTGGGACAAACTGCATAAGAGGCATTCCGTTTTTGAATTAGCGCCCTCTGTGGACAAGTAAGCGTATTATTTTACAACATTCTTATCGCTATTGTTTTCAAGAATACCATCAAACAAATGGCGGCTATTGTAAAACTATATTCGGCATAATGTGTAACACGGTGATTACAAACCACTGTGCTGCGAGAGATCAGAAGGTGTGCCGCGGGAAATTGTCCAGTTGAATTTAATTTGTCCCCAATTTATTAATTTACTACAAATCAGGATTATTGTTGATCTATCTATGCCAACGACCCGTTGTACCTGTGTGTTCATCTATTGCCATATTAAATATACAATGACGATCCTTGATTAAAGCCAACCTGTGCAGCCACACATAATGGACATACCATTAATCACCTCTGGCAGTAATTCCCCCAAAATTTAGGATGCCACTCACACTTGATAATAAGCGTGTATATAGTAAGTCTCATACATAGGGTTGTCACCTTTCAGATCTGGAAATAAGGGACATTCCTCACGGCGTCACGGCAAAACCTCGAAAGTCGAGGGTTTACCTGCCCGTCCCTTATGTGAGTGCGCACGTTTTGACAATAACTTAGTTTTAGACTTTTAGCTAAGAATGCGCGAATGTTACATTGCGTGTACGTTCAATAAAGTTATTGAATATGGCAGCAGTTTAACACAGGAACATTTTTTTTAATTTTTACTGTTTCATGCTGGATGAATTTTATATTTTATATTTTATATTTCGAAATCCAAACGAACTGGGCGGGGACCACTTGCCACCAGTTTAGATGTACGCATGTGAGCCACAGGAGGGCGCTCTAGAACATCTTTGTCTGTAGAGGCGCTTTCTTCCGCAACACGATTGATAAACATTTAAAAACCTATTGATGTGTCACCGAATCATATGATCTAGCTACAGATGCACTATATAAAAGAGATATGTGGGAAGAATCGCTGTATTGGGAAAAAGAAATCCTCAACAAAGTACAGTCGTCAGGTTTTTTTTTTCAAATTGGGTGTTGCAGATTTAATCTAATTTTCTCGAATCTAAATTTATAGTTAAGGCTTAGTATTTTACCACCAGCGTTGAACATTTCTATTTTATTTTTAAAAAGTGAGCGAAATTGAGATAGAATGGCCCATAACCGTGATCATAAATGTTTATCTGCAGCCCTGTCGAGTCCCAACAGCTGTTCTCAACAGCTCTCTATAGTCAGCTAGCTCAACGTTACGCTCAAAATGTATTCCCATAAAATCATCAGTCCCCCCCCCCCCGTCTAATTTCAATTTTATTCCCGTAAAATGGCAACATTAGTCATGTGAAATCGCAATTTTAACTCTTCAAACTTCAGTGCACCCAGAGCTTCTGAAAGGGGGAACAAGGGCTTGATTTGTCAAGATTTAGATTTAGATTTTTGATAAAGATCAGCATAGGGCCAATTGTCTGATGTCTCCGAAAGACGATGCTGGACTATTACCCTGTGGTGTGGGCTGTGTTACAAGTGTTTGTCTTCATCTCGTAGCAACCGCCGGGAATCTCTTCCCAGCACAAGTCATGAAGTGACCCGCATGTCCGCCTTGTATTTATCTTGGCACGCCGAGCGGCGGAACACAGCAGATACAAGTTGCCCTTCGTGCAGGATGAGTCACGCCGTTGATGCTGCAATTTCACCCTCGCATTCGCAAATAATATGTTGACATTAATGGAAGCCGCCACTTACATAAATAAAAGCTCTGTAAGCAAGTGGGAGAAATATGCATGTGTGGTCCAACTTTGTGCTTAGTGTCCGATGACCATATACAGTAATAACATGTCGACTGTGTTTGTGTGGAATACAGTTAAAAGATATATTGATCGGGTCTCATAATGTACTGTTTCCCAAACTTTATTGAGCAACTCGGGGGTGTACACACTTTCGTTGCCAGCGGTGGCTGTGTTGATTTATTTTCGCGGGACTGTAATCATACACTATTATACAACACACTATTATCTGACTACACCCTGAACTGGTCGCCAGTCAGTCGCAGGGCATATACAGAGACAAATAACCATTCACACCCACATCCTCATCGTCACTGAGTGTGAACTGATCCCACGTTGGCCACACACAATCCAGGCGAGTGTATCATGACACCATCAGCAATTCCATGAAATTACGTGAGCAAGTAAATCTTTTTTGACTTGCCTATTTCTGAAACTGCCAGCGAGCAGCACGGCGACCTTCTCAGGCATGACTTCGCAAACAGGTTAAATTAGCCAGTGGTGGCTACCTGCAAGGTAAGCAGAGCTGCTTTGGATTTTGTTGGATACACAGATTAGTCTTACCTTATGATAAGCACCACTTACTTGCTCGATGAAGTAGTCGATGCGGTGCGAGGGGGGATTTGGGTTTTGGTGATATATTTATGTGGCACATACACACAGTATGAGACTAAATGTCACAAATGTGCCTTTGAGACTTTCCGATTAAAAAAAAAATTCTATTGAACGTCATTTTGTATGCATGCTTCCATTTATTTCATTCTCTCTCTGTCTGTCTCACCCTTCCTTTTTGTTTTTACATTTTAAAGTCAAATTTCCAACTTTCTCAAGCAACTCTACAGTAATATAATTTATGTACATATAATTCAAACCCAAGTGCAGAAACGCATGTTTATCTATTGAGCACCATGCACCACAAATGGCATCAAGGCGCAGCAGAACTTCCTCCCTGTGTCTTCTCACCATCAAAGTTGCGTTTCCCACTGCCCCCCCCCCCGCCCTCACACACACACACACACACACACACACACACACACACACGCTCACACACAACTTAACACAATGTTCAAATCATGCAAAAAACACAAATGGTGAAGAAAGAGTAACCCTATAAGATGACCAAACGACACAAAGGGGTCCACACGCAGTCAATGCCAGGTAGCGTGTGACTTTTCAAACAGCCCCAAAAAGAGTGGAGGAGAGCTGGTGTTTATTTCTTGGGGTGGGGGGGGGGGGGGGTTTTAATTTTGCATGTGGCTTGTGGTGATGAAGTGGAACATACATATGCAGAAGCTAGAGTTGAAAGCATGTTTTTTTCTGCATTCTATCAGTAAGTGTGTGATGACATACAAAACCCACATAAGTGTATATTTTAAATCCCCCCCCCCCTTCTGGGAGAAAATACCAAAAGTGTCTTATTTTGAGCATTCACAGAATACCATACTGTACTAACTTTATTTATAAAGCATTTTCAAATGTAGTGTCACTGCTTTCCCATTGCCACTCGGAAAAGGGATGTGAAAGAATTGTCCTCAACATTTGGAATGCAGAATATATTGGCACAAATGCGCAACATTCTATTTTCCTTTTGTGGATTGAAATGTGGTTAAATGACATCTTATTTGCATATTTCATTTTATGGTTTTTTGTTTTGTTTTGTTTTTTTACTATTGACACTGTGGTAGAACAGTGGTTGGCACATCCGCAACACAGTCAGGAAATCCGACTTTGTATCACAGTTGGATCATTTTTGTGGACTCCGCCTTTATCCCACATTCCAAAAAAACATGCATGTTGGCTTGACTGAAGACTAAACCGCACGTCTCAAACTCTTTTCCTCGAGGATTGCTATCCTGCATGTTTCAGATGACACAAATTCTCATTTCATCAGCAAGCTCTGAAGGAGTTTGGCGCCTCTACAAAACTGTCCATTGGTGTGGATGTGAATTTGAATGCTTCTTTGTCTATATTGTATGTGCCTTGCGATTGGCTGTCAACCAGTCCAGCACATGATGAACCTTTACTTATTATTATTATTTTTTGTAATAATTCAGTTTATTTTAAGAATTAATCAAGAAAAAACTGGATTTTTGTATTTTTTGTCATTGATTGTTTTGATGTCATCTTTTACTTTTTTAAAATTATAATATCTAAAGTATCGTCAATGCGGCACGGTAGTGTGTTGGAATTTGCATCCCTATGCCTGCGTGGGTTTTCTTCGGATAATCCGGTTTCTTCCCACATTCCAAAAACATACATGGCAGGTTAATGGGGCACTCTACATTGTCCTTAAGTGTGACTGTAAATGCGAATGGTTGTTTGTCTTTGTGTGCCCTGCGATTGGTTGGCAACCAGTTCAGGGTGTACCCTGCCTACTGAACAAAGACATCTGGGATAGGCTCCAGCACGCCCGTGACCCATGTTAGGATAAAGCGTATCAGAAAATGGATGGATGCATGAAATTTACAAACCGTATGAAAACATGCAGTGACTGTGACGTATCCAGGAAGTGAGAGACACAAATTGAAAGTAGGCCACAAAAAAATAAAGAAAAAATGAGCAGGAGAATGCGGGAAACTAACATCATCATCATTATTGTCTTCATGTGTATCGTCTTTTTTTCCCAGTTTTTACTTTTTCATCATTATCATCGTTTTTGACTTGAGTAAGAGGTGACGTCATCACATCGAGAGATGAGGTGGAGGAGGGGGCGGAGGCACTTCCAGAAGAAGAAGAAGAAACGGAACTTCAGTGAATGAAGCTCGACTTCCACCAGGAGACTCAGAAGGATTCCCCCAAGATAAAGTAACAACATTTCTCCTTTTTCTTTCTTTGTTTTTTTGTTTTTGTTTTTTGCAAGCCTCGTGTGGAGAAGATCCCTTGGCGGCAGTTTCTCGTCTGCTTTTTGCCTTCATTTCGACAGGTATGGAAGCATGTTTCTGTCTGTGCAAAGTGGCGTTTGTTTAGAAGACGACGAGTAACGAGAATAGGAGAACTCAAAAGGTGTGGCGACCTTTGTGTTGAGATATGAAAATCCCTTATCGGACTGCGCTGTAACATAGCCTATTGTATCTAAAAAGTAACTTTTAACTCAGCATGCAGAGGTTAAAAAAAAAGTAGCTGCTAACATGCTGGACCAAGGTACTGTAGAAGTACATCAATATTTGGGAAAAGAAAACAAACAAACAAAAAAGGCGGTTACTGATTTCAACCAGTTAATTCTTTGATTTTCAGAGCACTTAAAAAAAAAAAACAACCACACCTGACAACAATTGATAATGTACCTTAAAATAATCTAACATTAAACATAAATAATACATACATGCACAGGGAGGTCCTCCCAGCCGGCAAAAGGAAAATAAAATGTACAGACTCAGAAATGTACTCAAGTGTGAAAGTAAAACTTTTTTTTACTGTCAGTTATATACAATAATACCCACTTCATCTAATTGCTCAATGAATTATAACTAACTAACTAGCTTTGGCTCAGGCTTTTATGCTTTCAAAACATGTCCCTGTAGTTTTGCTACCTGGAAGTGTTTTTTTTGTAACAACCATTCCCATTTTTTTCTGCCTTATAAGACCCTTACAGTAAATATTCATCATGAATGAAATTCTCAACCACAGTTGACTTGACTTCCCTATTTACATCTTTTTACGTGTTGTCCTTCCCAAAAGTCGAAAAATTAAGAAGCCTATTTTGACAAAGTAAAGAAGGGCTTGAAAGTACGGATATCTGTTTTCAAACAATATGCCCAGGGAGTGCTGCTTCACAACCACAAAGATGTCAGTATGTACTGGAAATAACAGGCTATTACCTCAAAAATGTGCAGTAATTTGACGTTAGTGTCAATATTAGCCTAACGTGCTATCCTAGCAGTTCTTCACCGCAACTAGATAGTCCAGGAAAAACAGGAGCAATTCTTAAAAGTCTGAAAAGTGCTCAATTTTGTTTCCCCTATCTGAAATCTTTTCAGAATCCAAGATGCCAATTTTTCATTTCATAATGACGCGTCACATTCTTTAACAACAAGAAAAAGCAAAAGCCGTGTTCATCATTTGATTCTCCGTTAACACCTGTCAAATTCTCCCCCTGAAAATGTTGGTTAAATTCCAAGTTGGACGGCCTCAAGTGCTTGCGAATCGCGGAGGTTACATTTTTGTAGAGCATCAACTAGAATTGAAGGTTTGCGTGTTGGCCTTCAAAGCTCCTTGAGCCCATTTTGATTTGATTTTCCTTCACACATTTGTGCATGGCACAGCAGCTACAGGTGGCCTCCTTCTCCTCTTCCACCACAGTTCCACATCCTTGAGGGTCCCTCCGCCACGCCGCCTTTCTGAGCCACCCATGGTGGTGTGCATGTTGCAGAGGGAAGTGCTGCTACATCCCAAAACCAAACAAAACCAGGAAAGCGATCTTGTTTGTACTTGCTAAGTTCAAGGGCAAACTTCTATTTCAAAATGACTACACTAGGAAATCCCCCTCCCCTCGCAGAAGTTTAAGTTTTATGTTTGTTATTTAGAATGTTAGTAGTTAGTTCTGGAAGTGTGTGAATCAAAAGTATTTTCTGCTTTTTTTCAGACAGACCGGGCCGGGTCATTCCTGCCTTTGTGTTCGTGAAATGTGTGGGTCACTGAGTGGGCTTTTGTGTGACAAAGTGTGAGGATGGCGGGTGGGGTAGGGGGGCACTGCCAAGTTGCCGCTGGCATTGAGGGGGCCGGCCCGCCGCACCCGGTGAAAAGGTTAAAGGTTGAAGCGGCTCGTCTTTGAGGATGAAGGAGAGCATTCTGGGCCCCCAGTGGTGTGTCTAAGACGGGGGCGTGGCGGTGTCGGTGTTCCTCTGAGCGGCCTTTGTTGGGCTGAGTGGCAACCAGATCAGGAGCCTCGCTTTAATTCACACACGGGCATGTGCATGCTAATGAGACGTGGGAATGAAATGGCTTTACAAGTAGACACTGTTCCCCAGTCATTCCCAATGACTCTGATGGAAAAGGTGTTCCACGTGAAAATGGTCAGAGAATTATTATTATTTACTGAGTCAATTGAGACGACAGCATTATTTCACTTTGTTTGGTGGTGGTGGTGGTGCATCGCTCAACTAAGTTTGGGTCTCACTGCTGTACCCAAGCAGCGCCTTAAAGCCAAATTGCAGCGATGAATGGGCCCTTGAAAGCCCCTTTTTTCAGTCTATCTTCAAAATGACGGTCAAATTTGTGACGTCAAGCCACACCAAAGCGAAAAAGCTTCGCAATGCATCGGCAAGCATTTGTCTAGCACCCTGTTTGCAATTGGTGCCTTTTTAATTTTGTTTTATTGTTATTATTATTATTTTTTGGTTCCCTATTTGGGAACTCGTCAATGTAGGCACCATGGAATTTGCCCAACATGGCCAACTCCCTGTTCATTTTTGATCCTGTGCCTGCCCCTTCCCAAGACTGTTGTCATTAGCTATTTTTTTTCCTACTCTCCAGCGGGTGCTACTGTGTGTGTGTTTTGGGATGTTGTGTCTGCGATGCCTGAAATACATACTGTACATTTCCACCAGGATGCGCATGTTGACACAAAAGCTGAGTTTAAGTTATTTAATTCATCCGAAGATTCAAACGTTTAACATCAGAAGAGACTTTACTTTCCCGTGCTTGTTTTTTTTTTGTTTCATTTTGTAAAGATGATCTGTGATGACTCTTCCTTCTTGAGTTCTCACTGCAGGGCATGGGTGTCCTTTTTCTCCCAATGTTCCAGCTTGCCTGCTGCGCCGCCATGCCAAAACACGTCGTCTCAGTCGGGCCCGAAGAATGTAGTCTTTGCTCTTACAACCAACAGGAAACTGATTCACAAACAGAACTTGCATTGTAACTGTTAGTGCTGAACTTGATTGATCCAGCTGAGCTCTCTCATGTGACAAAAGATAAGGGAAGGTCTGCAAACTTTGAGAGAACGCCTGCCACTGATGAGATGAGCGTGGATGTGTTGCTCCGGTTGTAGTTTTATCAGAACAGGACGTGTCTTCACGAAAAACGCACCAAATACTTGATGGAAGTAATGTTTTTGAAGAGGTCCTGTTATGAAAACAGTTTTTTACGTGCTTGTATGCTGATAGTTGGGTCTTTGATGCGCCTTCCCACTCTTTAAGTGTGAAATTAAATTGGGGATGGGGGGTATAACGGTTAAATTAGCCAGTAGCAGCATTGTGCATGCAGCATTCACTCGGTCAGGATGCAGAGGTGTGAACATCTCCTGCTCTGCTGAGAGTCTACAAGTCTCTGGAGGTTTCTAACGATACCACAAAACGGTAGATTTATTGCTCTTTAAACATTGCTAGAAGGGTTGGAAAAGTTGCTAAATATGGCAACAGTTTTCATGTGACAGAACTGAAAATGTGCTGTTTTGACCGAAGAATGTTGAAGACCTTTTATTAAGACGTGGAAACTCCTTTTTAAGTTGTGGAAAAGAAAATGTGTCCTTTATATGGTGGGCTGCAGGATTTGGAAAGTTCATAAGTTTGTACCGCCAAGTGATAGCAATCTTTCACTCGGCCACAATTGGCATCGATAAAAGTTGGTGCAATGGCAGGGGGAAATTTAGCTAAAAAAGAGAGAAAATGGCAAAAATGCGTGATCCATTTACGACACTTAAAAAAAAGAGCATAACAAAGTACAATCTGTTTACCGCAAAGTAGAACTACCACAACAGCACATCTATAGGAGTTCCAATACAAGGCATCGATGTTAGCTAAATTAATGTAGCCTACCAGCCCTCGTTGTAATGTATTGTCACGTCTCTGCGAATGGTCACGAATAGACACAATGACCGGTTGGTTCACTTTCAATCGCTTTATTGAACCAATGGTGACACGAGAAACACAACAAAGTACGTTCATAGATGAGCTGCAACGGCTACAACTGAAACTTAAAGGCTTTTGACACGCAGACGGTTAGCTAGTTCACTGCTAGCCGCTAACCTAAGCTCCCCGCAGCCAACTGTACATTCACATTCCTTGACTTGTAGGCTACTGATTATTGATGCAAGTAAGAATCTTTTTTTGTTTTGTTTTTTTCTCCTTTACCGTAGCACTCAATATGCTAAGGTCAGTCTGACCTCATAGCTGGCTGCAGCTATGGTGGAGTTGGATGTGTACTGTCTGTTTAACAAATGTTTTCTGAAAGTGAATTGCCCGTTGGATTTGTGAAACAAACCATGTGGTGCTTCAAATTACACTTTAAAAAAACAACAACAAAAAAACAGAGGACACCAGTCCTGCTGTCTTGTTTGAGTAGCTGTGTGTCGGTGATGTAAGATTGGTGACGCGCCCTCTAGTGTGGTTTTGGTTTGAGGCTGTTCAGCCAAGATGGAGGACGGGCAGTGGCGCTGTGACCAGCTTTGGTTTGGGCTCGCCTCTTTTCTAAAAATGGGGAAATGGATTGCGTATTTCACAGTTCCTAAAATCTAAAACGATTGGCGCGCCGATGATTTTGGAGGAAAACCTTTTTTTTTTTTAAACATACCACCGAGTACAGGACAATAGCCTAGGATAATCCTTTAGAACACTGGTTCTCAAACCTTTTACATAGTATCACCTGAAAGCAAACACAACTGTACTTAAATAATGATTCAGTTAAAATGTGTTGTGCATGAAAGTTAAATCCGTTCTCAAAGTTTGAATTTAACAGTAAATACACCTGAACTTTATTTAGGCATACCACACTTTTAGAATCACTGCTTGAGAAACATCTGACCAATCGGGCCGTTGCTGACTTTGATCAGAAGAGAAAGAAAATCTTAAAATTTGCCCCGATTATCACTATGTGTGTATCCCGCTTTTCACAAATTCAACTCCGATTGGCCACTTTATTAGACACACCCAAGAGCTATCAAAAAAAAGTCTGCCTTCTACGTTACAGTCTACGTGAAAATAACAACGCTCAGTTTTGATTGGCCCGGGCACGTTAATCGAACAATAGTAGTTTGCAATGGCGTTGAACCAGATTGCCTCACAGCTGTTTCTAATCCACTGCCCCATTTTCAGTCCACAATATTCCCCACTGTGATTCCACCACTGCAAATGGCTATAATAGACATTATGTTACATACGTAAAAGCAACAAAAAAGTGTGACAGCAATTTGCAGTGATTACTGATACGGCTCCGTTTGTGGCTAAGCAAGTGTAAAAGTCATCGGGTGTTGATCTTGAAAGGAACTCTAGAAAACACAATAATGCAGTGGTACCTTGAGATCCAAGTTTTATTTCATTCCACGACAATGTGTCTCAAATCATCGTTCCCCATTCAAATGAATGGAAATGTTGTTAATCTGTTCAAGGCTCTGAATAGCACCCCTCAAAAATACTGTCATTCCTCAGTAACCTACAGTAATATTATTATTTCATGGAGGGTAAAGAATTTATTCCTATGACTATGCTATAGTCATAGGAATAATATGCGTCTAAGTGTTTTCTCCACTGTATTTCTTCAAATATCCGTTGCGTCAAGGATTACAACGGTGCTGCACCGATGCCGTGCGTTTGCCTGTCCATGCCATTTTGCATTTTGCAAAACCCCCCAAACACAAGTTTTGTCATTTTTATCTCAAGGAAACACTAATAATTGTTCAGAACTGTTAATTCCTTGATGGAGGGCACATTGTTTTCAACTTTGCACAGACCGACTGGAAAATGTGATGTTGTTGTTGTAAAGGCCACCAGAGCAGCTTTGTTTCTCAACGCAATGTTCATGTTGGCCCGCTGACTGCTGCCTGCCGTGAGGGCTTTGGGAGGTCTCGCTTGCGCGCGTATGAGCATTCGAGTCGAGGCTTGTGTCACTGCGGGAGTGCGAGAACGAGCAGGTCCACGTTGCACGTCCCACATCCATCTCCAAAGGTATCAAGTGTTTTTATCGGCCTAAGTCAGCATCACGCTGGAGTCGAGGAAAGATGTTAAGAGTTAGCACACTCAGCAAAAATACACTAATACAAGACGACTCTAGAGATGTGAAGGAATGATGATCGGAATCTCTGAAAAACAAACAGAGGCTGCTTTGATCTGAGGCTTTTGCATCTGACATGCATCACGTCAACAAAACATCTCCATGTCGACTTAAGTTTCATATAAAATCTAAGAGCACAATCATTAAGTGAGAATGAATGAAAGACACTATTGATGACTTCTAGCACACAGCTTGTTAAGTTGAAGCCTTTGCATTATAAATGCCAGCATTATTGTCAAGTCGAAAAGTCCCTTTTAGGTTCAGCAGTTCGCTGCATGATCCGGTTACTCAAGGGGGCCTGCTAACTGCCACTTTTAGGTGTGTTTCAGCTCCATCCAGCTGTCTAAAGGGGCAAAGCTGCTCATTTGTGGTCATGGCAAGTCTTTATACCGTGAACAGTATGATATTTATAATCACCTCGGAACCAGGAGTGGCGTCATCCACTAGGGCGGCTTGAACAAAAGGCACTGAAAACAAACGTAAACGGATATGTTTTGCCATGGATATAAACACTGGAGCCAGTGGGTTTATGTTGGCGGTAATCTGCATGTACGCAATAGTGTTTAGACGGGATGCACCGGCCCGTCTGCCGGGCCTTTGTGGTGTCATCAAGTTTTGCGTTTGTGTGATTGCTAATGTGTTAAACCACGCACGCGACCAGACAAAAGTCTACCAAGGCTTGTGAGGACCAGAATAAAAGATGGCCCGGCGCAAACATCTGCACAAGCTGACAACCTTCGCTTCGGGGATAATCACAATGCGAAATGTGTCTCAGACGTCATGCCTGTTCTGTTCTAGCAGACCTCAGATAAACGTCTGAGAAAAAGATTCTTCATATTGTGGCTTTGAAATGTCAGCTATGCTTTACCTTGAAGTGACTCTGATAATATCAGACAACTGCAAAAAATGAAGAGCGGCATCCCAAGGTGTCGCAAGGTTTAACTTCAAGGTACAGTGTGTAGAATGTAGTGCCATCTAGTGGTCAACTAATAGAATGCAATGAGCGAAGCGCGTGGATTTTGAAGCACGGGGACAACGGTGCCTCAGAGTGACGACTTTTCGCAAACCTATAATTTCGTCTAGCAAATGTGCAAGCAAAATGTCTTCCCAAGCGACTTCTAGTACTCCCTTCAAGTGACGAAGGCAGTGCATGGCATATGTTATAGTGCTGTCGTCATGATTTTGAGGAACTACCTACGCTAAGTTTGTCTCCTCCGAGTATCCGTAGCAAAAAGATCGCGACGAAACATGGCAGCCTCCTGTTGGGGTGTCGCACCGTGTGTAATATAATTAGCGATTACTCCACCTACAATTCATTAAAAATATATTGATGTGCTTGAACATATGTATGCATATTATTAAAAATAATAGTGGGTCTTTGATAGAAGAATAAAACTCAACAAATATTTACACGTTTCCTTCAGCCCCCAACCAACCTTAATTCTTTAATTTACACAGGAATCAGTAAATCATAAATCAAATGACAACAATCATGCAAATCATACGTAATCATGTGAAGTGCATTTCTAAAGCACTATATCAAACATCTGTATCAATAAATAATGGTATTTAACATATAAACCCAAATAGCAGCCTTTGAGATTAGAAAAATGCATTCTCATGCCCTGCTATATTGATTTGCATTTGATTCAATGTTCAGTCCTACTTATAAGCAAAAGATTCCATTGAGTTTTGTTTTTTTCAAGATAAGATCATGAAATGCTGCCTCTCGAAACTCTCCTGATTGTAAATCAAACCCTCCTGAAAAGAATAATGGAGCTACAGTTGATGTCATGTGTCGACTTGCCACTTATGATTGACGTCACGCTTTGTGGAATGCCGGCGGGGGCCAGTAAACGGCCAAACCCCGCCTATCAATGATGTCAAGTCATAGAAAGTGTGTGACTAATACGGCGGCAGGAGGGAGCTGGTTTGTCCGTTAACGTGATTCATCAAGTCGGGGGACATCTGGAAGCGCTGCTCGCAGCTGGCCCAGTGAGCAGAGTTGGTGGGAATGGCGAGCTCTATTCTGAGTCTTTCATGAAAATGTCGCCGGTTTCAAACACAAGAGAAGACTGATGAATCACCGCGGTCGGGGAATGCACATGTTTACATCTGTGACTCCCACTTGGCTTAACCTCTCGTGCTCCTTTTGTGCGTCTGTAGGTGTGAGTTCCTGAAGGCGCCATGGAGGAGGGAAGCTGCTTGGGTTCATTATAAACTAGTCGGGAGCATCAGAAGTGGATCTCTGCTCTGACGACTAAAGAAAGACAGTCAAACTGGGAAACTATTTTCTCATCTGCTACCCTTTTTGGATCCCATCAACTTTCCAAGTGGACTGTAAAGGAGCTTCAAAAGTTTGATTCCAAGAGCGCAACCATGTGCCATGTGATTGTAACATGCCGCTCCATGCTCTGGACGCTGCTCAGTATCGTTGTGGCCTTCGCCGAGCTCATCGCCTTCATGAGCCCCGATTGGCTGCTGGGATTCCCTCGCTCCGACTCCGGCGTGAACCCCGGTGAATACCGGCCCTCTCTGGGCCTCTACAGCCGCTGCCTCCGCCTCGCCACCCGGGGAGGTGGGGTGAGCTGCGGGCCCTACGCCGGCACCTTCTCCGAGGTGGCTAGCGGCTTCTGGCAGGCGGCCATGTTGTTTCTGGCCGCGGGGATATTGGTGCTCGTAGTGGTGGCCTGCATCTCGATCTTCAGCATGTGCTTCCAGAGCATCCTGAGGAAAAGCATCTTCAACATCTGCGGTTTGATGCAGGCCGTTGCAGGTAGGCTGGTATCCATACAGCAAACTAAAATCTTCACTTGGCTCTGTGAATGTTTCATAAAATGACTGCAGGCCTTGTCGCGCCCCTCAAAAGTAACCCGTCAGCAGCTGATCTGGGATCAGTTGCTTCAATACTTGACTCCCCTCCCCCTGTCTGTTCTCTGTCCAGGCCTCTTGCTTATGGTGGGCCTCATGCTCTACCCCGCTGGCTGGGGTTCCGAGAAGGTGACGGGCTACTGCGGGGTCGAGGCCTCCCCCTTCCGGCCGGCCTTGTGCTCCCTCGGCTGGGCCTTTTACGCGGCCATCGGAGGAACCCTGGCGACCTTCCTGTGCTCCGTTTTGTCCGCGCAGGCCGAGATCGCCACCTCCAGCGACAAGGTGCAAGAGGAGATCGAAGAGGGCAAGAGTCTCATCTGCGTGCTGTGACACCACGGAGTCATCCTGAGCATGGACTTGTTGAGATGAGAAGCTGGAGGTGTTGTATTTCTTTATTTTTATTTCTTCAACACTTGCTTTGCGATCTTAATAATCCCTGGTTAAATTGAGACAAAGACTTTGGGGCATTTGCTGGCAAAGTGCACACCACTGAATGAGACTGAGTTCATCTGCACACTCTAACAAAACCAATACAAGAAACCGAAACCTGTACATACCACTGTTCATGCAATTTGTTTTAACACCCCCAATTTCCCTCCCCCCCAAGTATATAATGACTTTTAGCTCACAAAACTCCGAAATTCAGGCAGTCTATTGAACAATATTAGATGAAAACGTATTTCGAGTAATGATGCGCCATCTGGTGGCGAACATGGTGAATTAGAGCCTCCACAGAAACGTCATAGTCTTAATGTTTCAAGATTTTAATTCAAGTCTTTTTCAGATTTCTTCCATCAACACACTAAATGTGAACACGAATCTATACTGTGAAGTGTGTGTGCGACTAATGTTAAAATTTTGGGTGACTGTCAAACCAGTATTAGCTAAACAAGATGATTGTGGTTGTATTTACAGTGACATTTAACAGCAGATCGCATTCTTATCTTCGGAAAGGGTTCTTGTATTGAATCTCAATTGGATCACACTTTGCAAGTTAATGTTTGTAGTTATATTGTAGAAGTTCCATGATTTTTTTTATTTTATTTTTTTTGCTCAAATTGCATGCTGCGTCGCAGTCGCAAGAGAGCAGAGTTTGGCTCCTCCACCTAAATGTGACTCCTCTCCATACAAGTGTGCCATGACGCATTTGATTGCTCTTATTCAACACAGAAGGCAAAGACATGCAATTAGGATTTTGAGAAAGTGAGCGGGACAATGTGGGACCCTTTTGTTTGTTACATTAACAAGAATCTTGTTGTTTTGGTGAATGAATGAATTGCTGATGTTAGTATGGAGAAATACATACTGTATAGTACCATCAATAGTCCACAGATTGTCTCTTTCAAATCTTTATTCCATGTTAATACCATAAATATACAAAACTGAAAACTATTTCACATGCGACAAAGGCCGGACGAGAGTGCATCGAATTTTCTTTTGAAACGCAACTCCTAATGAGGGGCATCAAATCATCTTTACAGAATGTACAAATACGGTATTCCTCTTAAATTAGTTTTCGCTCTTGATTCAGTGAAATAACATGATCACAGGTCTAAAACACATCTTTTTTTTTTGTGTTTGTTTGTTTTGTTCACATTCTTAAGTGTAGACCGGCTTGCACAATACAACTTTCAATGTTTGTGAAGTAAAATTTGTCTAACGTACACATCACAAACTGAGATTTAAAAAAAAAATGGACATTTGGTAGATTTCTCACAGCTTTTGTGAACGCACAGTAGAATAACACTTGAGGGATTTGTCATATTTAATCAGCCATTCCTTGAATACAAGCACACCATTTGATGCACGTAACACGATAAATCGTGGAGAACCAAAAAGAACATAAATTATGTCATAAATAAAAACAGCTAACAGAAATGTGCTATCCAAAAAAACAAAACAAAAAAGAAATACTGCAGAAACTTAGCATCAGGCTGTTAATGTCGCGATTAGACTTCGGACAATTTAGCTAGAACACTCCGGTCGAGCTCCACTTCATCATTTGCAACAATAACAGTGCAGTCATTTGCCATATGGCGTACACCCCCCGTAATACGAGGGGGTTGTGAAAGTACAACAATTCCAGTTTTTGACAGTAGTCTGTACAGCTTTTCAACACAGTGATTCTCAACCACGAGTCGGAAATTCTCAGATTTGACATGATTGGTCTGGAAATGAAGATATATTCACTGCAAATAATGTACATTTGTTCCTCAATCTAACCCAGAAGAACAAAAACACTTTTTTTACGAGGTGGCAGAAGGTACAATTAACCTGTTTTTATTGTTGCCGTTTTTACAACCGAATAATACCTTTTGTGTTCCACGACAGAGGCCCAGATTTCACACACTCAATTTGTGAGTAAATTGATATGAGATCATTATTTTCAATATTCTGTCCGTACTTTTTGTTTGGTGGTGTACCCAGAAAGTTGTCGAAAAAACAAAATATGTGCCTTGGCTCAACAAAGGTTCAATGTCATTGTATGCGGGGTAATGTGCACCATTCAGTCACATGCCATTAACGCTGAGAGGATTAAAGCAAAAAAAAAAAAAAAAAAAGTACATTGATACCATTTCATCTGTTTTGCAAGGTGGATCACATGACTCATATCCCCCGGTCACCTCCCTTTTAGGTCGGCCCATTTGCTGAGTCGAGTGCGAGTCTCCTTTATGAGAAGGAAGCCAAAAATAGCGATAGGCCACGTCCAGATTGATAGCAGCTTCAGAATTTTTCAACGTGCGACGGGCTACGCGGGCAAATGATGTCACACGCGCAAAAAAAAAAAAAACAACCAAAAACCCCACACATCTTTTGAGTCGTCCTCCTTTTTTACCAGGTGTCCGTCCGTCAAACAGCCAAATGGACATGCAGCTCACATCTCGGGATGTGCGACGCTAATGATTTAGCAACCCCGTTGAGTGTGCTTGAACTTGCACACGTTATGCCGTCACTCAATGTGGCTGCCGAGTTACTGACCCGTCCAGTCAAACAGAAGGTGAACGGGGGTGTTATTTTTAGGTGTGGGGTTGTTAATCCCAATAATGGAGATGACGAGGAGGAAGCGTGACTCATTCGGGGCCGGGAAGGACACTAGCAGGGTCAGTGTTAGTTGTGGAGTGAAGACATTTTTTTTTTTTTTTTTTTTTTGGGAAGATATTAGCAAATCGGGGGGTGATTGAGCGGGGACAGTTTTGTGACTCTTCAGTGTGCGAGAATGTGTGTCTACGGATGAGGTTTGAAGGCCCCGCGGGCGGCGTTGGAAGCGGCGTTAGCCGCGGCGTTGGCTGCTGCCGTCTGGACAGTCTTGTTGGACATGACGCCAGTGGCGAACTCCTGCTGAGCCTTCTCAAAGCTGGCGCCGGTGGTCCGATACAGTGCGTGTACCTGCGCAAGTGCTTGAAATTAGCTTAGACTTTTAAAAGAAAAAAAAATGTTGACACACAAGTGACAGGATATCTCCTGCCGCCACGTTCAGGGAGGTTGGCTACATTCCCGTGGATCTTAAATTTCTGAAGATGTGCAGCACAAGATCATCCAGATGCTTGCACATGGTCTCGTTGCCTTTACCTTTAAGGTGCTTGTCAATCATCTGCGTTTTAATCTCCTGAGACAACTCTCTCCTTGGCTTCCTCCCTCCCCCCATCATTAATGTGTCACACGCCGTGTCCTCATACAGCGCGCCGACTACTTGTCATCCTTTAAATAGCCCCACTGATAAGTTTGAAGAAACCTATGATGCTAATTAGAGGACAGACTTTGGTTGAACACCGCAATTTGAGTTTGTTTTTACTTTCATTAACCGAGGGTTAACAATAAGATAAGATAAGATAAGATAAGAAAACCTTTATTAGTCTCGCAATGGAGAAATTCCCAATTCACAGCAGCAAATAATGTACATAGATGGATTTGTGAGTTTGTAGGAAGAGTCCGTTACCTTTTTAAACATGATGAGTGAACCTACGGAGAGCGTGGTGAAGAGTGCCGCAATGAGCAACATGATGATGCCCACCGGGATGCTCGTGTTCAGGCCCATTAGAGCTGTGATCCAGCCACTGCGAAACAACGATAACAAGGACCTAAAATGTGCCACCACTTCAAGCGTGCTGTCGAGCGCGGCTGTTAAACTCTCTTACCATGTGCCCCAGCCAGTGATGCCGATCGTTTGTAGCACGTGAACTCCAAACTGGCAGATGTAGACGAAGAAGAATACGAAGAAGCGAAAGGAACTGTCGCTCCTGTAGGGGAGACGGAGGAGCGCATACAAAACGCTTTGTCTAAGTGGCGGATTTTCAAACACTCTTTTTTTCTTTTGTAATGTTTTGAAGTGTTTCAAGAGTGTTGCGGGGGTAAACCTTTTTTCTAATGTGGTCTCTCTACTGCACAGGTGTCAAAGTCAAGGCCCGGGGGCCAGATCTGGCCCACCACATCATTTTATGTGGCCCGCGAAAGCAAATAAATCATGTCAAGTTCCATGATGCTTGCTAAAGTCTGAAGCAAAATTTCAAATTGTCATATGTAATCCACAATAACAGTCATTATTCTTGACTTCTGATTGTAAAACTATTTATTCCCAAAATTCATAACGGCCCTCCAAGGGAAAGCGTAACTACAATGTGGCCCGCGACAAAAACGAGTTTGACACCCCTGCTCTACAGTGTGGCTTTTTACCGATCAGGTGGGTTTGGAACTTATCTCCCATGATTCACGGGGTTTCCTGTATATGATTTGGTTTATATCACATTTTTCGCTACATTTGAAAAAGGCCACGTTCCACTTTTAAGATATCTGAATCCACGCGTTTTATTTCCCCTTTAGTTGCTTCATGCATGTCCTTATTGTGCCACTTGAGAGCAGAAATAAAACAATGACCTGCACTCACTCACCTGAAAGCTCCATACAGCGGTCTGTACCAGCAGACAAAGGAGCAAGGCGTAAAGAGCAGAAACCACAACATGGCCAGGCCGAAGTCGACGCCGTGGGTCGGATCCACACAGAACCAGGCCAAGCAGCCAAACATGTTCACAAACAGCGTGCCGGCGTGGACTGGTGGGAAACGCAACGGGAAGATGGATAATCATGCAGCGTCGAGTGAACGGGGCTTCGTCGTCAAGACGGAGGGATCGGCTTACACATCCAGAGGTTGTACATGATCTTCACCGTCTTCTGGAACTCGATGGGAATGTCCACCGCGATGTCGTGGTAGAAGCACGGACCCACTGGGAACTTGGCAGGCATGGGAGGCCAGTTGTTCTTACGACCTGCCAAGATGTGAAGGATGCCTCACTCATATACAACAGTGGGTCAAGTCGCCAAAAAAAAAATCGCACTTCAACAAGAGAAGTGTTACTTTAGAATGATACAACTCAAGTTCAAGTGAAAAAGTAGTCCTCCAAATAAGTATTTGAGAGGGAATGGGAAAGTATTTGGTTTAAAAAAAAAAACCTCAGGTACTGAGTGACTAACAACCATGAACATAAAAAGCAATATAAATGAAATCAAGCATTTAATCACAAAAATCCTCAAGTAAAAGTAAACAATATGTTGCACTCAACCACCTCTGACGAGTATAATTTAAATGATAGTTTGGTGAAAACTGCGTGTTCGTATCCTGATAAAAGTAGAGAAAAGCAAAAGGAACACATTCGGGTGTAAAGAGCTTAGCTGGCTCCTTCTGCTCGTTTTTCCTCGGATGCCAACAATCTAATGACACTCAAAAGGTTTAAGGAACAGAGCAGTGATGGATGGACGGACTGACTGACCCGCTCCGCCGTGAGACTGCAACTCTCTCTCCCTGCGGTCCAGCTCGGCCGCTTTCCTCTCCAACTCCTCCTGCCTTCTCAGCAAATCGGCCTGAGCACGTGCCTGGTCCTAGAACATCCACACAGAGTTCACCAAAAAAATAACCAAGACTTGCAATCAGGTACGTTTGTATCGCGGTAGTTCCGGAGTGAAAAATGTGTTTGCCTGATCCAAAGACTTAAGAAATCCTTGCGGAACACTGATGCACAGGAAAAGAGTCTTACATGCGGGTGAGAAAGTAGGAAGGAGGGAGAGCAAAATATGTTGCTACATGAACCAAAAAAGGCAAAACAAAGAACAAGGATAAAATATTTGGGTCTGTCAAATTGGGTCAGAAAAAGAAGATGGCAACCAATATCGTACCTGTGTTTGTTGCTGTGAGTAAGCCGGTGGCTCTTCTGTGGGCTTCATGATGGCAGGTTGTGTGTTCTGCGAAGGTGCCGGAGCAGACTTGGGGGCATTACCAGGGGCAGCCTGTAAAACCAGCAGGAAAAATCCCTTTGCATTAAGTAATTAGACCATAGTCCTCTTTTTGTCTTTTTTTTTTTTTTTTTTTTGGTCCACTGGGACTGATGACTTTGGAAGAGACTGAAGCATATAAAATGAGGTCACACACACACGAAGCGTATTCATTAACGTGAGATGAATTCAGAAGTCCCGCTGACCGTTCTGGCATCCGTGAAGGGGTTGTATTCTTCAAGACCGCCGGGAGGGGTAGAACGCGTCACCTGTGTTACAGAGGGATCCTGAAACAAAGAGAGGAACACATAAGGGATTTTAGTTGACAGTCTTGAACCGTAATATTAGCTGTGCCTGCGCGTTTCCTGGAATGGATTACAAGAGCTCCAGTTTCCAGAGTTCTCAAAGTTTTGATTGACAATCACAAAAAAATTTAATAAAATTACTTTAATACAGTAAAATGTTCAATATTGTGGTTGTAGTTTGCAGTGGTGTACAACTGCACTTCAGAGTGAGAGCTATTCCTGAACAGGGCTCACCTACTGCCTCTCACTTTGTCAATCCATCTATAATTTAAAAAAAAAAATCTAAACAAATAAAATAAACATCGTTTGACAAAATATAACATTTGTTTGATCAATGATTTTTTTAAAAAACGGATCTGTCACCAACATTACGAGAAAATTCAATCTAATTTGTAATTTGAGTGCCCAATTAGACTCACTCCCATGCGGTGAGGAGCCAATCACCAGCCAGCTTTCAATCCAATTGCAACCCATCATGACTTTGAAGAAATGTGGCCTCAAGCTAAATTCTTTTCGTCAGGTGACTCGGAGGACGGTCACGCCTTTTTTAACAGGTAAGAAGGCACCACCAAGTAATTCATATTTTAAAAAGCAATCCATAACTACAGTTTATTAAGGGATTGCCTATGACAACCAACATCGTTTATGTAGTTGATATGAGTTCACAATGTATCGGCAAAGTGCGAGCAACTCTGGCATGAAGCACGACTGCAACCTGTACACTTTATTTGCAACCTGGAAGTCGAGAACATTCAGCAGTGCCGGTAAGTACACCGTTTATTTATGTCCATTATGTTAAGCTAGGATAGCATCGAAGCTTACAGACCTACTGACGTGAACCAGGCTAGCCGTTTCGTAACACGACTGTCAACGACTCGACTAGTTTACCGTCGTCTAATATTGGAAGGCCTGGAATTGTTTTAAATACAACCAATGCCGACTGGGTAGCCGGTTGAGCTATCAAGGCGTGTATGGTGTTCAGACGAGGGAAAACCTATAGCTGGCGTTACAGTTAGCTAACTAGGGACATTCATTCAGAGAAAATATTATCTTGCGATAACAACCTGTTCTACTAATATGCAAGAGTCGCATTAAACACGTAAAATGGTTGGCTGGTTATACTACTCAGCCGTGTAGCGAGAGACTAAACGTATAGATGTAGTATTGACAGTTAGCATGCTAGCAACAGTGTACCTAGTTACCTGAAACGGATTGTTGAAGTCCGGGTCCGCGAACGGGTTGCTGTCAAAGTCGGACATTTTACAGTTTTTCAGAGAACTCGTCCCGGTATTTCGCCAGGCAGTATTCGGTCTGTCGCTTTTTGCTGCCCCTCGCTGCCGCCTGCGGGTTTTTTCCGCCGCCGTCCGCTGATGGAGGACCCTCCGCTCCGTGCTAGCCCAGTTAGCACACAACAAAACCAGGAAAAAAGAAAGGCGACGCGCGGATGGAATGTGACGTCATACAATCAGCACCACGGACAGCGTGACGTCACAACAGAAAGCAACGAGAGTAATAATGACGCGAGTTCAATGGTTTGTGAAAATAAACTGTATGGTAAGCCCTCTAAACATTTTACAATTAGACTGGATGGGTGTTGCAGATATCCACAATATAGGTCGGCCCAGTCAGAAAGAACATTTCCGATATCCCTTAACTATATTTTTCTTATCCAAAGTTGTAATTTCATTTCAGTTACTGTATCTGTAACGGAAGTGGGCCTCGGTTAAATTACGTCATTGCATTATAAATACATTGTTGTCATGACAGAAATCTACAATTGAGCTGCGCAGATATCTGCTATGGGAATAATAGATATCTCTGATGGTTGTAGGTATTTCTAATTCCATACAAGCAAGGATTTGAGATAACTAAATATTAAACAGCTTTAACAGTAGCGATAGTCGGTCCCGACTCTTTTAAAAGCAGGGCCTTTTTAGAATTTAATCTTCTGCTTGGAATTTCAAATCTTACTTAACTCTATACATGACGTTTTGGGCTAATGGACCTAACAGTGTGTCAACATCATTTACCGTGAATCCCGGGTTTGTAAAAGTACAGTGTTATGTATATGCCGGAGCTCCTATTGCAGCACAGGCAATCCCCTACGTAAACACTACGCCCGCTGTATAGTATTTTAAACTCCTGTAGGTCAAATACGACAGCCAGTTTCCTCCATGTGGTAATAATGAGGACGTTAATGGTGATGGCGCTAATGATGATGAGGATGATTAGCAATGGAAGCATCTGCTGTGTCGATGATCTCTGCTGCCAATGAGGATTATCACTTTCATAATATCTATAATGATGGTTTCTTTCTTGTAAAAATCAGAGCGTATAAATTATTTTGGCCCTCAACACAGTCAGAGAGCCAGTGGAGTGCGAATCGCCCGGCGTTCTTATACCAGCCACTTGGGGGCGCTATAATGCCGCCAGCCGCCGCTTCGGTGTCCCTTTTGGCAGAATCTTTTTTTTCTCATTTGCCTCCAATTTATTTTCATTCAAACGAAGGGTGACCATGTGAAGAACATCAGATGAGTTGACAGCCTGTAAATGTGATTTAAACATTTAAGCACCATTTACCCAGATTAAGTTTCAATTGGAGAACAAATGCTATTAGGTGGAAATCTTACGGTATTGCTGTAAACGACGGCGCTTAAGATATTCCCAATTTTATTGTTTTAATCTTATTGGTCATATTTGAACAAAAGGCACTTAGGTACCTCTTTGGTTTTATTGAAGACTCATGTCTGGTATACATTTTGCATATTTGCAAATTTGACTCTTAACTGCGAGGTCTGCTTTTTGCACTCAATGCTTATTTTATACTGAACCCAATGATGGACTCTAAACACAGACTGCACATTCATTACAATTCACCTTCTTTTCACGCACGCGCGCGCGCACACACACACACACACACACACACATGCGCGCGCACGTAAAGTGAGCATCCGTTCCTCCCCTAATCTCGTATTAATGGACCCAATCACAGACTCTATGAATAATCAATGGTCAGTGGTCTGCAACCGCAGTGCTTAGACCTTGAGTAAAACTGAATTTTCCTAATCAGATGCACACACACCTTGAGGCCCTAATCGGCACTCTAATGGTTTAGAATCTGTCGCATGGTTTGTTTGCTGCACAATGTGAAAGATAAACAAGCCATGGATGGCTGTGACTGCCCGTCTTTGTGTATGCACTCTACATGTGTGCCGAAGGGGAAAAGACGGTGAAAATGTCCGCCCTCGTCCTCCCATCCTCTGTCTCGAATACTGCAGTCCACGTGTGTGTGTGTGTGTGTGTGTGTGTGTGTGTGTGTGTGTGTGTGTGTGTGTGTGTGTGTGTGTGTGTGTGTGTGTGGAAACAACCACTTTGGCTAATAGCTGCTACATTAGTCTCCTAACCAGCTGGTCATGGCCATTTAGAAATGTTCATTAGGTCGCCGACCAGAGTGGATAGGTGCGATAGTTCACTCTCCGCTGTCGACTGTAGAGAGACGGGCACAGGCAGAGGGAAAGTCATTCACCCGCCAACTTGACGACCAAGTGTTAAAAGCCGTGGATGCAATTATCCCCAGATTGCCCTGAATTAGAACCTGGCGTATAATTACATCTCATTAATGTCTATGAGTGTTATTTTAGAGTTCTGAAAGGTTGGATAAGCAGGACTTGGTATTATGGCTTATTAATGCCGCAACATCTGGTGTCATTCTGGTAATATTCTGATGAGTGATTGGAATGGAAATGTAGGATTTAAATGTTATCGTTATAAGGTGAAATGACTCATCCTAAATGTAAGAATGCACATCTCCAAAATATATTCAAATGTTTGTTTTGTTATTATCATTCATGTATTGCATTAAACATCGGACGTAAGATAACCTGAATGCAAAATAAAGACTACTTCTGTGATCATAAATGTTAGTGAAACTTACCCCCCCAAAAAATTATCAACCAGTGTGCTCTGTGAATTTTGCACTTTGGTTTTACTGCCATTTTTTTCTAACCTGCTACTTTCTTTTAAGTCCCATTTATTTAATGAATTGAAGAAAAACATTTTGCTTTCCCAAATGCAAAAAATGCTTCTCTAAATTTGAATTCACTGATTATTTTAAATAGTTAAAAGCGTATTAACGGCATTAAATCAACCCTCCTTTTAGCACCATTTTCTTATTCTGCAATTCAGGCTCATTTTGGCTTCAGAAACTTTTGTCGTCTTTTCAAATAGTAGAATTCCTCAACGGAACTTGCGAGACCGGAAAAAAAACATCAAGCAAACAAAAAGCCTCATGTTGAGTGGTTAAAAGGGACGTGAATTCAATTTTGAACGGCAAGTTTGCTTTTAAAAAGTTACCTAATGGTGTCATTGACAAGAGCAAACAGTGGATTGCCGTCGTGAAATGAACTACCATCGTGGCACGTCCAGTTTAAAATACCATTTGATGGCCAAGCACACCGCCGATGCCTATTCTCCGGCCCCTCGTCAATCCCGGACATCCATGGATAATTTCCGACACAAACCAGCGGATGATTCCAACGACTACAACGGTGAATTACCTTCGAGAACCACCATTAGAAAGTGCTGTTGAGGGGCTTTTTTTGTGACTGTGTGACTGGAATACAATGCTTACTTTTTTTATTAAAAAAAAAATAATTTGGATGCAAAAATGAAAGCTCTTATTCATGTTAAGGGTATTCGAATTCGATAATATGAGAAGGGGAAAAAAATCTAGGAACATTTTTATAATCAATTAAATGCACAATGAACTACAACTTAGCTGTGATTTAATTTGATTAATAACACTTTAATGTTTGAATCGCTTGACAGCATTAATTGAAAATAAAATCATTTGGTGACCTCATGACCTTTTGCTAAAATAAATCCAACAGTCTTGTTTGTTTTGCTCCCAGATTTCCTCAAGGTTTAAACATGTAATATTTGCAACAGTCCCCAAAACAAAAAGACTGCCATTTCTACTTTGTGGTTCACAAGTTTGATGCAATCGTCATTAGTGAGCACTTAGCCTTTGCTGTAGTGATCCATTCATCAGGCAGTGAAAACAAACCATGTTGCCCAACTGCCCTGAGCAAGTTTGTGGTGATAGTTTAATTTCATTGACATGCTGTTGACATTAAAAATGCATGCTGCCGAAAATTTTACTATCCATGGCCTTGTGTTGCGTGATAGAACTCGACGTTTAAGAGTGTACTTGACCAGTCCAAATCACACCTGCACTGCACTCGTAATTGTGCTGCTCTCATCCCTCCAAATTTTGCTGCTGTAAATTGCGAATTCCTCCATTGGGAGACTAATAAAAGTATTCTTATCTTCTCTTATCTATTCTATTGGATGGTCTGACAGAAAACATTTTAGTCTTCTCTGACCATTTAGTCTTCGGCCATACAGTATCAAAACCAAACATCGTGGTACTCTTACAGGGTCCAAAAAAAAATCTTCAAATCAACTTTATTGTCAAATGTGCTACATGTGTAACATACAGCGCAGATGAAATTTCTTTCCTCAGGAGAGAGAGAGGAGCCGCTGCGGGTGCCCATGCCGCAAATTGAAAAAAAATTCAATGCACTCCCCCTTGTCTAAATACGGTATTCTGATTACGTTTGCGGAATAAGAATTGAGCAACAACCCCCCCCGCCCCCCCTGTTTTTATCCATCCCAGGGGCGCCCATTTTGCCATTTGCTGTGATCGAAAATGACATCGCAGTGCCTAAGGGCTCAGCCTTTATACTGTATGTCACATGGCCAAATCCAGAAAACTGGTGAGCTATGACGATTGTTCCCTGAGCACTGCGATGTCATTATCAGTTGACAGGAAGAAACAAAATGGCCGACCCTGAGATGGATTTTTCTGCTTAATTATTGTTGCAGAAGTACACTCTTAATCAGAATACCGTGTTTAGACTGTTGGAGGGGGGGGGGGCACGCATAGAAAATATGATTATCAAGAAAATTTTGGACTTGGCTTCCCCTTTAAGACATGAGCAGCTGTGTCACTTATGAATGGGAGAATTGCGACACACCCTTCTCCAACTCCCAAATTTCTGACTCCAATCCAGATACAGCCAGATGAGCTCACAGTGCTACCAAACCTAATATAATCTCATCTCATATCTAATCATCTTACTTTAAGTGAATTTAAAAATATGAGCCTAGATTGAAGATGGATTTCTTTAACAAGCCTCCGCCAACTGCATGTCACGTGACGACTTTTTCCGCTGAACGTCATCTGCTTGTTCTGACATGGCTAGTCGGTATGAAAACTCTAATATTTTAGGCCCTACTCATTTAGGTCAGCAGTGTGGGATCATTTTGGCGACCCGTTTTGAGAACAGAAATGGAAATCGCATCTGGTAACTAGACCCAGACTATTTGGCCAAAGTGCTTCGACAAATTTCCCGAGTCACGTCGAACGTGTTCATTCAACTTCAAGACACATCTCGAAATTGTTTGAACTAAAGTGGGGCAGATCTATGTTGACAAATTTAGTTATAATATAATGAAAGAATATATAAAACTATTTCATATA